TCTGCTAATTATTCTCATTAGTAATGGCTAAGAAAATTTTCGATATCGCTACAAGAAACCTGTACAGAGGTTTTACCAGCGTGATATTTGTAGGATAACACTAACTGGCTGATTACTATACAGTACAGATGGATAGATAGTCAGTAAAATCTTAATACAAGTTTATAACTGTTTCAGCATGTATACTGACATGTAGGTATATATACAGTTCGGCACGCAAATATTATTATAGACAATGCAGGTATATAGTGTACTAACATATAGACCTTTAATTTAAATGTGTATACGGAAGCATATATATATATATATATATATATATATATATATATATATATATATATATATATATATATATATATATATATATATATATATATATATATATATATATATATATATATATATATATATATAATGGAATGAGCAAACCTCGAACTAATTCATCTTCAGGTAAATGTAATATACATTCGTGTGAACCATATTTATAAACTTATACCTAATTTACATTCGTGATATAAATCTTATATTCATCACTACTTCTAATATCTCTATGCCCACATTTCATAAAAAAATCAACACCCGATTACATCCAAAATTCTACGAAAATAAAAGCACTATGAATATTAAGATTAATAAGAAAAAAATCAGGGGTCTGACGCCAAGTCAAAAGAAAAAAAGCGAGTGGGAATAAAAGGATAAGCGCGTGGCAGCGTTCATTCACGAGGAATAAACAAAAATGTGGTCCACTTTGGTTATCGCGGACCGAGGCTTTGGCACCAGGCTCTTAACACTGGAAAAATTTACATGACAAGAGAAACATTATTGACATGCAAAGGAGCGCGCTAGAAGCAAGTGAGGAGGAGAGGGGGAGGGCAACGTAGAGAAGGACGAGGTGAAGAAAAGCAAAGCGGAGATAAACGGAAGAGAAGAGGACGTAGTGAAAAGGCGGAAGGGAGAGGAAGTAAACACTGAGGATGAGAGAGAAGCGAAAACAGAAGGCATGAGAAGAGAGGAGATGGGAAGGAAAAAGATAATGGAGGTAATAATGTGTAGACGGGAAGGGACAAAGTGTAGATGGTGACGATGATGATTAGAAGATGAAAGAGTAAAGGGAGGAGGGAGAAGATGAAACAGGGGAAGCAAGAAGGAAGAGCAGAACAGGAAGAGTAGGGGAAGACGTAGATGGTCCGAGGAGGAGTGAGGAAGGGGAACAAGAGTAAGGTGGGAAGATCAAAGTAGAATGCAATAAGAGGTATGAGGGGGAAAGCACCGGGAAGAGAGAGAAGTCAAGTGAAGAGGAGACTAAGGGAAGAGAGAAAGGTAAAGAAAGCGGGAGAAAGACTGGAAGAAGAAGGAGAGAGAGGGAGAGAGAGAGCTAATTCTCAAATGTTCATACGGTAACTACTCGTAACTAAGAATGCTTCCTCGCCCGTGTCACACTCCCTAATCCGTGTCACACTCCATCACTCGTGTCACACTCCCTCACTCGTGTCACACTCCCTCACCCGTGTCACACTCCCTCACCCGTGTCACACTCCCTCACCCGTGTCACACTCCCTCACCCGTGTCACACTCCCTCACACTTGTCACGCTCTCTCACGTGTGTCATGGTGACCATCAATACACTACTCACCTTTATCACGTGTTAATATTGCTGTACATAATTACTACAAAAGGTGTCCACTAAAGAATCATTCAAATTCTAACCTTAATATATTTATTATTATAGATCTTTAGAAGATAATTACAGCAAAATGAAAGTTACATAATTTTTTCTTCTGTTTAAAGTTTCATCAGGTTACTGTATCGTGTGTGTGTGTGTGTGTGTGTGTGTGTGTGTGTTTTCAGGTGGAAACTCGGCTCCAGGCGTATTCTCTCTCGTCTACCTGGTGTGATGTTGCCCACAGCTCCTCGAATTCGGTGTCGTCATCCATTAAGATTATTACTCATATGCATTTTTTCCCTTACGTTTTTCCTTAAATAAAAATCCAATGTGGGTGACGTCCGGAGATAGGCGAAGCCAGCTGATTGGATTTACTTTGCTGAACCATCCGTCAAAAGAGGAAAAGAAAAGAAGCCTCGCTGTTGAAAAGGAAGAGAGTGAACACCTCTCTCACTTGTTCGTCATCAGCATCTGAAGATCTCGGTTTACCTGATTTATATTTTTTGTTCCCATATACGTTAAACTGCTCCTTCCCCTCGCACTGACAACAGTCTAAAGGAATGTGTGTGACAGTGATATCACCTACTGTATATGGACCAGACCATCGTTCATATACGAGTAACAACATAAACACGTTACCGTTGAATTTGGATAGGAAGGTGCTAGGGAGATTGTCGTGCACCATCATCTATCCCTACGCCAGGATGAAGCCACCTAAGATGCAGGGTCTGTAGATATAAATATTTTGTCAACCACCAGAACATTGTAATAATAATAATAATAATAATAATAATAATTAATAATAATAATAATAATAATAATAATAATAAAGAACCATAAATACTGTAACTGTACTGAAGAATGTATTCACAATGCCTCAATAAGAACTGGACTGTGACCTTCATTGTTATAGATGCTAGCTTCAGGGATTTAGTTTCGCGGTCTTTTAACGGGCGCCAAAACTGCCCTTTCTCGAGTGACCCACCATCACTGGCTCTATATAAACTTTAAGTAAAAGAGCAAACATATGAAAATTTCAGAGGAATAACCACCAATAGAACATATTGTAATATCTTTGCAAACGTTGGCATCCTCAACAAAATTTCAACCTAACTTAACATAACCTAACCTTAATACCATCTCTCTCAATTATCTTTTAACTACTCTGTGGTGTTCAGAAATAAAGAGAGACTCGTAAATTACATTTTTTTACGTGATAATATCAATACTGGTCAAAATTCCCGCCCTTTATATCCAAAACAAAGGTCTGAGGAAACTCTGGTCATGAAGAGAAACACAACTCCCGTTACTGATGCATTTATGGGAGTGAAACTAGTTGTATTTAGGAAGCTCTGGAACGTAAACTCTTTGCCCTATTAGTTTATGTAATATTGGTGCTAACTTCACGTGGTAACAATCAATCTGAAACCGAGCCATGGAGATGACCCTTGATAATGAAACGTATAGTAATCACTTGGTAAACAACAAAGACGCTTACCAGAGGGCCATCCTTCGCCCCGCGCTGAACTATTACCTGCACTGACTTCCTTCACAATCTAAGAAGGTCTTTGTTAAGGTCAGTATGAAGTTTGCCATCAAGTTTAGCCAGAGTTGGTGTACTGATGTCAACATCTGTCGAGCTGTTTGTGTCTGTTGTTCACAGTAACTGAGGAGTCGGATAGAGGGGACGCCACTTCTTAATTAGGTTAGCTGAGTAGCTGCTCATACCATTAGCTGCCACCAGTAGTGTATACCAATATAGTAAATAATATTGCAATAAACAATCAAGTTCTCTAATATGTGCACATGTGGTCACTACGTGTTAGGAGGGTTGTAGGTAGTAGGCAGCTATCAAACAGGGAGGTATTACCGCCTGGGAAGATATTGGAAGCATAATGTGTTGTCTAATGGTAGACCCTGCTGCCATATGGCATCACAAAAATTGTGACGAAGTCCCAGGTTGCTGATCTGACTTTCTGCCTCATTTACACACAATTGCAGGGTCTCAATTGTTTCTCTTACTTTGACAACACAACATAATATATTGTTTCTTACCTTTGATCTTTTTTTCATTTTTGTATTTATGGTTTATTATTATTATTATTATTATTATTATTATTATTATTATTATTATTATTATTATTATTATTATTATTATTATTATTATGATTATTATGATTATTATTATTATTATTATTATTATTATTTTATAATTAATTTTTTAAAAAGTTTATTTACCATGTATTATTATTATTATTATTATTATTATTATTATTATTATTATTATTATTATTATTATTATTATTATTGCTGCATTTTCGCGCCCCAGGCCCCGATGTGGGTCAGTAACCTGTGCCCGGGTGGGGTAATCCCCGTAAAAAAAAAACAAAATAAAAAAAGACTGGCAGGATTCCCTCGCCGACGGCCAGGTCTTAACCTACTAACTGCATCTGTTACTGGCGTCTTCTTAACACCTTACTTGAAGATTCTAACTAAATAATTTCAACTGTTTTGATTTAAATAGAGTTTGGCTCTAAGTATTTATAAAATACCAGGAGGTAAGAGTGGCCTGAGAGCGGATCTTAGGTACTGTTATAATACCTCAGAGGTCACTGTAAACCTGTTCCACTCCTGAATACAACCCGTCCTCTACCCCGCCCACCCCGGGGTTTCCCCGTCATCAACTGCACCAGACAGTAGAAGAACCACCCAAACTTACTCGAGCTTAACGTCAATAAATGTTACTGTTTCAGAAATAAAGGAAAACCAAAACTTCTATGCAGATTTTACTAACGCTTTTTCTGACTGATAAATATCATTAAACTCCGGTCATTTCTACCGTCAGATAAATGGTAACTGAAGGAACAGGAACACCTGTCAATGTTCCCGGTGTCCTGCTGCCGGGTACTGACTTAGCAGTTTTAGTACCGCTTCAAGTACCAAAAACCAGATGACCCGAGTGTGTCTTCTTTTTGTTTTTTCTTTATAAATATCGTTTTCCCATAGATACAACGCCACTATTATGAGGGTAGCCCATCCATTTGTCTCTCCAGGCTGGTCACCCCCCCCCCCCTCTTCCCCCGGCTGCCACCAGCCCAGGTCCAAGACGATACTACATCTACCTAACAGGGCTGATGGATATTACATTATCGGTTGTTCGAAGAAACACTCACACTCTTATACTCACAAACAAACTTACACACATAAAGAAAATACAGAAAGATAATACACACGCGTGCACACACGAAAATTCAGAGGAACACACACACACACACACGAGCGCGCAAATTCCAGTGTAACATCTTGAGCCGGGAAACATTCACCTCAGGTACAGTACAACCGGGCTGGTTACCTGTATATATAACCCGTCGCTATGGAGTGGCAGTCAGTGTCGCAGCATTGAGCGGAGAGTCAACTTGTCTTGAGTATCTCCGTTGTTAAGGTTTGTGGTCAAGAAATGTTATTGAAAAATAAAAAGTTTTGGGTTAGGCTTTACTAAAAAAAATTCCCATATAATGTCATTCATTATTTGTTTTGGGTGAGATAAAGTTATGTTACAATATTTTAGTCCAAAGGAGTTTTGATTATCGTCTATGTTGCCAATAATCATCATTTTCTAATATGTTATAAACACACACGCCACGTAATATATACAGATATAAGTGAGTCTTTGTACTCGTTTATATGTCAATACAACTTTACAATATGAACAAATTGTTACCCAGTCACACCAAAACGTTTTTACTCAATTGGTAAAAAAAATGGACAGATATATCTTAAATTTGTTTATGTAAACACTAATTTACATAAATAAACACCTACTACTGTACAAACAAATAAATTTTACATCGAAACATTAAATCTATAATCTTCCACCCCAAAAAATAATGAAACACACACACACACACACACACACACACACACACACACACACCATTAGAAATCAGACCCAACACATTAAACAAATTATATTCCAACAGTACAGTACAGATAATAACACCTACTAGAACACTCTTCAGCTGGTAAATCAAGAGGAAATCACTGAACGTCTGAAGTACCGTGTTTGATATATATATATATATATATATATATATATATATATATATATATATATATATATATATATATATATATATATATATATATATATATATATATATATATATATATAAAGTAAATCTGAGGTGCGTGATCTAGTATATATTATATTATAATATATATATATATATATATATATATATATATATATATATATATATATATATATATATATATATATATATATATATATATGTGTGTGTGTGTATGATTTCCATATCTTAGTAAACGACTTGATTCACTCTGTACGTTGTGGTCGTGGTACAGATGAGGGCGTGGTCGTGTGTGGTAGCGGTGGTGGTGGTGGTAGTATCTGAGGCCCAGGCTGATGACGACAGCCACGACACTAAGATCTTCCATCAGAACCCAACCTTCGCACATGACGGTGAAGTGGTCGGTGTGTCCAGTGCCAGCGGTGCCTTGTTCCAGTAAGTCTTCATAATCAAGGTTCTAATTTATCTTTTACCGCAGTAGATCAAGAACTAAGGCAGTTTTGAAAGGTTTTGTTGCAGTAGATCAAGATTTAAGCTCTCAAGGGGTTAATTCCACAGATAAGTATCTATTGTACAGTAAAGTAATATCGAAAGGAATTGTCAGTATGGGGATGCCTTGTAATTACTTTTACGCTGGGAGTTATAAGACGAGTGTTACTGTAGTAAGGACGCCTGAAACTTGTTAAGGCTTCAGTTTGACACCATCAATAAATTAACCAACTGCAGTTATAATAGTGGATGGAACTCAGTGTTTTTGTGATCAATTTTCTTTCCCACCCTAAACCAGCCGCCCCGGGGGGAGTGGTACTATACTGGACACCGTCGGCAACATCATCAAGGAACTTCAGCCTGGACGTTACCCGCCTGGACGTTACCCGCCTGGACGTTACCCACAGCCTGGGATTTACCCACCACCTGGGCCTTACCCACCACCTGGGCCTTACCCACCACCTGGGCCTTACCCACCACCTGGGCCTTACCCACAACCTGGACCTTACCCACAACCTGGACAACCAATAATCGGCCACCACCCAAGCCAAGGCTGCCAAAAATGCCAAGATTCACATGGACATTTAGTGTGCTGTTCTCGTAAGTTTAATTTCAACGTTTTTACATCTCCTGACCACAGCCTCAGAAGGTGTGTGTGTGTGTGTGTGTGCAAGCGCGCGTGTGTGTGTGTGCGTGCGTGGGAGTGCGAACTGTCTTCTGTAAAATTTGTCAGCCGTTACATGTATTCTGGGGGTGAAATATCCTTGTGTTCCTTTCGCACACCAACCCAAGTCAACTTGAATCTAACCTAACCTATTAACACCAATCTAATCTAATTTAAATCTAACCTGATCGAATAATGATGTGAAGGAAACTCATCCATGTCACATCTAGTAGTACCTACATTCACTTGTTGTACGTAGAGGTTGTGTGAAACAGTTAAAGTTGACTCAACATTGTGGACGTGTTGTCATCTTACGAGTATAAAGTCACACCAGTAAATTAAGGGGCTGTCCTTGATCAACAGCAGCATCTCCATATTGTGACAGGAAAATAAAGCATATTTTTTCTACATTCAAAACACACACACACACACACACACACACACACACACACCAGAATACAGAATAGTGTGAAATAAGTTAACACAAATGGGGAAAAAAGGAAACAAATATATTAAGAGTTTATCAAAGATGAAATTATTCAGTTCTTGAGACATTATATCAGGGGTCACAGTTACAGCTGAAGGTGAGGAAACTACTTTATTGGGAATTAGAATAGCACCAGGTACGGGAGGGTTGTAATTGTTCTCTAACATATAATTTTACATAATTAATTAACACTTTTTTTCTTTTGTTTTTAGAGTCGATTCAACAACATCGGTGCCCATCTTCATCACATTATTGTGGTTCGGGCCACACCTCACACCCGCCCCACTGTCACACCGACGGTGAGTGTAGTCACGGAAGCTCGTGTTGTTCAGATAGATGCTTAACCTACAAAATCTGTAAGTACACTGGCAATAATAACGGGTAACAAGGGAAGGCTATGCTTCTCCGGAACTGGGCACGACAGTGTCATTATAGGAACTGTCTCACGACAACCACCAGTTTCCAACACTGTGATTTAAAAAATACCGTCTTGCATTACATTGGATAAACTGAGGCAGCTGTCTTCTCCAACAGAGTTACCGACATGTTAAGTTTTGTTGTTGTTTTTTAGAATTTATTCCCCACAGTCTGAGTTATAAGTCTCAAAAGGAAAAGTGAAAGATATAAGACAAGATAAATTCAGTTCCACTAGTAAAATACAGTAATGGTGACGATGTTCTGGCACAGTTGTCGGGAACTGTATCACGTATTGGCCGAGACGTAAACACAATGTTCAGATAACCTTTTTCACAGTTGGCCCTTTTGTAAGAGGAAAAAATATTTCTAATACTTACTCAACTTTTTTATGTTTAAAGCTGATTTTTTTAGTTGTTGTTGTTTATTTATTTGTGTTCGTGTTTTATTTGAGTTTTAGGTTGTGAAACTGTTATGCAATAAATTGTTGTTGAACTTGGTGTTATTTTATGAATTTTCCAAAATACATCATCAACTATCTTGACACTAAGAAAAACCTGAAATTGAAAAGAAAGAATTTCTGAGACATGTTCTGTCAGCTGTTCCCACCCTGTCGGTTGGTATCCATCTGTTAAACTTTGCTTCAATATGCCTGATGGCAACCGGGTCACCAGAGCTGTGTCTATCTCCTGGTCTCTGTTGCATTTTCTGGGTTGGCGCCCCAGGTTTGCAGGAGGGGGGGGGGGATGAGGGAGGGTTTCAGTCTGGTTCTACCCACCAGCTGCCGTCTTAAGCTGGAAAATGGTATAAAACGTTGATGATAAATATCGTGAAGGAACGCTAAGAGCAGTTTACTCCAATAACCTTGTTGGGGCCTACAACCAGAGCCACACCACTGGAGAAGTTTAGAAATACAACAACCATCATTGTTTTAATGGACTCCTCTCTGTAGTCAGAAATTACGCCATCTGCTTATCTGTTTATGTAGAAAGAAGGCCTGTGCTTGTGTAGGTGTCTTCCCAAGATGTTCTGTTGTCATGTAAGATAATTGAACCAACACCTCCTTGTTGATCATCTACTCAGATACAGACACAAGCTGCAGTCGTCACATTTTATAATTTCATGATGACTGCAGCCACTACACATGATAAACTTTATGACGTCGGTTACTACTGTATATTTTTTCATACACTGTAATGAAGGGAGTGCGGGGTGACTCACACGACCTGTTTCTTCTAACCCGGAAATACTTTTTTCTACCTGAATGTAACACCACGTATTGTACGTGTATCAAGTATGGACAAGACATGATGAGCAGCGTCATTCTCCGCCAGTATTAACAACGTCATGAAAGACAAACTTTTATATACTTTGGTCCAAACTTGATTTTATTTTTTTTAACTACTTACTTTTCTGTCTTTTTACGTTTACGCGAGTCTCCACTTACACCAAGATGAGGCGGTGTGAGAAAATGTCGGTAAAATTTATAAGTGGAGGTCAATATGCAGGTTGACCCCACGATGGAGGCCTTGTTGCCACACGTCACCCTAGATCAGGCAGTGCCTACAACACGTGGCACGGAGGAGGAGGAGGAGAGATGTTTGATTTGCTCGGTGGGAATTCGATATTAATTTATGTATAAACATTTACCGAGGATGACACATAAAGAGTATAAAAAAAAGACATAATTCCAATTGTCGTAAAATCCTAGCCAAAAACAACCGCCTCCCCACTCAATTTTCCTCGCCTCTCAACCTACTTTTCCTCACCTCCCAATCCACATTTCCTCACCCCCCAACCCACATTTTCTCGCCTCCAACCCACATTTCCTCGCTTCCTAACCCACATTTCCTCGCCTCCTTACCTACTTTTCCTCGCCTCCCTACCCACATTTCCTCGCCTCCCTACCCACATTTCCTCGCCTCCCTACCCACATTTTCTCGCCTCCCCACACATTTCCTCGCCTCTCCACTCTCGTTTCCGAAAACTAGTCGTCGACGTAAGAGGGCCGGGCGCATGAGGGAATTAGTTTACCACTGTAGGCGAGTTTAATATACTCCTGGCCGCTCGTAGACTCTGTGTTTGTCGTAAGTGATTAGTCGCCAAATATGTAGAACAGTCCGACCTGTTTCTCTGTTTGTCCTTCTGTTAGTCTGTTTACCCGCAAACGTCATCAGTTTTCATCGATTCTCACGAAAATTTCACATCTGATTAGACTTCCCAGTTGACAGGCATTACATTTTTAGTCAACCTCGAACAAAGGTAAGCAATGAAGGTCACCGCAGTCAAGGAAGCTTCCACCATTGTTGATCGATCGTTATGTAATTTTTACAGATTAAATATTATAAGTTTTCCAAACGTTCATCATAGTCTTGATCATCTTGTTCAAGTGACCGTCTAAGATGAAGATCAAAGTTACCACACTCAAGCATCAACATTCATGATCCGATCTATATCAAGTTATCAACGCAAGTCGTTCTGGAACTAGTATAAGTATCACACAACTTTGGTCAATATCGGTCAAAGGTCAAGGTCATGGATGAAGGTCACTCCACTCAATTAATACATAGAAATTTCGCCAAGTGTGAAGGATGGTTCACTAAGGTACCTCTTCTTTTTTTATTATTCTGTTCGTAGCTGAGATATGGCTACGTCGACAAACAAGAAAAAACCACACTGGGAATTTTATTTACTTTGGTAAACATCAGTAAAAACTTGGGGGAAGAGTTACTGCTGTTGTTGGTGGGTCATCCTTGAGAGCCAGGGAGGTGTGGCTGGCTCTCACTACCACCATTAACTGTGTGGTGTCCGTCGACCATCCACCACTAACCTCGAGGCTTTGATTGAAACAGTCAAACATTATGGGTACACCTGGGTAACCCCCGCTTCCCCTCCTGGTCACAACCTTCCATCTCCAGGCTCCGGAAGTTGGTTATGTTTGTTGATGTAATTACCGGTACGCTTTTGTACACACACACACACACACACACACACACTTACTCTATCTGCCAGGGAAGATTTGACCTATATGATAAGCGTCAAGCTCCATCTGCCTGTTTCATTGTTGGAAGATGTGATTCTGACGTGCATGAAGCATTAAGCCATCGTTCAGCATCACAAACGCAACAATGTAATCTGTCGGAAGAATCCCTCAGTAATAATTTTAAAAACTGAGAGGCTCTTAATTATCCGTAAAGTAAAGGTGTTACGATGCAATGAAAGTTTTTTAATTATCTTGTATCAGCAAAATTAACAAGGAAATTTCCCCTCTAAGATCTATAGCATTGAGGAATAATGACTTGTGTTTCCCCATGACTCCTGCGACCTTGTGCAATATTGTATTGAATTGCTTCCTCAAATTACTCGGTCGAGGCTTTGTTGACAGTGGCTTCAGGGATCACCCAAATTATCCTGAGTTTCCTGTATGGTATATCTCCGCCGAGTGAAAAAAAAACATACAACAAGAACAATTCTAGATTATAAATTCGGCATTAAAAAAAATAAGTACTTAGGAAAACAATAGGATATGTCAGTGCCAGGAGCTATTACCATTCACTGTAACATCTATGGCGACGAGCTTGGATACAAAATGTGATAAAATCTTAACTAAAGAGACAAGTTGGAACCTCACATTAGCTGATCAGAAGCTTTCATTCATCGTGGATATAAACCCCAGGACCACCCGAGTCGTGACAGCTTACACCCACAGCTACCGTGACATCACCACCAGCTATACCTAACATTCTACTCTACCTTCGCTGGAGACAGAAGGTTTGCGTTTCAGACGTTTTAATACAGAGACAGGAAGTTTGTGCTGAAGTTAATGGGGATATTCAGTTAAAATAATAAGTTTGCCGTGTTTACGTGGGTTCAGAGGTACTTGTGTCGTGGACCTATGACTCGCTATCACGCTGTGGTGTGGTCAGTCTCCTGCCTGTGTTAATAATAATAATACTAATAATAATAATAATAATCGGTTTATTAATAGAGTTGCAGCCGGTGGCTGAAAATATACAGACTTACATTTGATTTAGACATAATGATATAATATGCATTGAATACATATACAGGGCTGTACAGTACATAAATCAGGAGTTGTTTATTATTTTAACAATAGATGGGATGGTGCTGTTCTTATATCTATCGCTGCGGGCTCTTATGGGCTGAATTTTGTTGTAGTGGCGGACTGCGCGAGTAGGGTGGGGGGCTGCAGGTGGTGGCGATGGCGAGGGTGGTGCAGTAGTCCACGGCCAAACCTTTCCAGTGCTTGGTGGTGGAGGTCACTGAGGGAATGAGGGATGGCATTTCCAGGGTGGAGAGAGCGTTGGTGTAGCCGGAGTATTCTGCGCCGAGCATGATTCTGCAGGCCCTTTTCTGTACCTTCTCTAGCTGACGTTGTTGGGTGGAGTTGAGAGAAGACGACCAGGCTGGTTTGCGATGAAGATATGGTGTTGGTAATTAAGGGAAGTTTGTGGTGTTTGTAGTGAAAGAGAAGCTTGTGAGGTTTGTAATTAAGGGGAATTTGTGGTACTTGTAACTAAATATTGTTTGTGATGACGATTCAAGGTTGATGTATAGTACCTGTTTAAAAGTGGAAATTCTTGAGGAAGAATGCGTGTGCTGTGTGTAGCTTGTCTAAGGGGGGTATAAAATTTTGTTCAAGAAGCAAAATTTCTTCTCTTATTTTGTGGGGGCTGGGAGGACAAGATTATGCATGGGTGTGTGAATGTGTGTAGTTTATGAGTGTGTTTGGCCAAGCTCAAGCCTCACTTTAGCTGGCCTGGCGGTGATGATGTCATTGGTGTGTTCCTGTACTCTTGCCTTATTTTTCAGGCATCACTGAGCAGTCAAAGTGATACCATTTTATATAGCTGTTACCTGTAATATGTACAGTCAGTAATTTTTCGTTTTTTATAGAAAATAAAGGAAACCAACATAAAGCTTCCCCATTATACTTATGTTTTTCATAATAATAATAAATAAATAAAATAAAGAAATATTGAAGTGATAACCGCGGTAACATTATGATATGTTCTTATTACCATTATACTACTGTACTATTCCAGATGTTACTAAATGTTACATAATACTTCCTTGAGATAAATGTATAGTGTATATCAGGTACCTAAAAGAGAGCTCAGGTTCTCAACTGGCTCAGCCATGTTAATATTGTTATTATTATCCACTCTGTATCTGTGTTTTTTCCGGCCAAATAAACTGTTTCAATTCAATTCAATTCAATTTAAATTACAATCTTCACCACCCGTACATAGTTACGCTTTAAGTCGAGAATAATCAGATCATTTTTAATCCAGGTTTTAAGAAAATCTGTCCACACGAAGGAGATGCTAAGGACAAGACGGCGTACAATTCCATTGTATTTTGCTAAATCTTCCAGAAATATAATAATTTATATTTACCTTTAATATTCAGTTTCTTGCCCTTCAGCACCTTGACCAGCCTGCTGAGTGATGGTTGTAACAGTGTGGTTGGCAGCCTTGACGGTGTTGATCCAGGGGTGTGCAGCCCAGAATACCAAGATCATCATCAAAGATCCTCATGCTGCCTCCGATACACGGTATGTTATCCTGAATCCCCAGATAACACTCTCTTATATTCTTCTCCTAACAATCACTCTTGGTTATCACCTCAAGATAACCTCTTCTCAGAGCTCATTTAATGTCTTCTTACGATATACGATAATTGTTTTATTTCCCATTTCTTAAAGTTTGGTTTCCTTACAGAATAATGGCATCTACTCTTAACAAAAGGCTTAAAATCATTTTCAGGTGTATTCAGGCAGCGAGGACTAAACTTTTAATTGCAAACTTTTCACACAATTGTTACCATGAAGTGCTCAACAAAACTTGGTATGGTATTGTATCAGTCGTCCGCATGCAGATTTCCAGTTAGTATTATGTTACATTTTTGTAACAAACAATTTTATTTATTAAATTCCAGTACGAGGAAATAATTCTTAATTGATTTGGTAACTTAATTCACCTGTAATGAATTCATATGATGGAAGAGATCCTCACCTGAGCCTCGTCATCTCTATGGAAATTCCACTTGAGCAAAATTGAGGTCAAATCATCTTTTATTATCAGATCCAAAAGTCACTCGGCGTGCATCAGTACAATAGCACGTTACACCTTTATCAAATATTTAAAATGCAATAGCTAGTACACTGACGATGGTTAGGACGACCGAAGAACGTTAAAACATACAACTGGACGTCTACAAACAAACCGTGGGTAAACAAAAATCTCTCGGTCTCACCGGCAGGGAAAACAAAACCAACTGATGTTTTGTGTCATCACACCCGTGACGTATACAATGTCTGGTCACACTAGAACAGTCAAACATTCCTCATAATGTATCCCTTAGATCTTACTTAAAATATTCCCGCCAGTATCATCAACACTAAAGAAACTAATATGTACACACACACACACACACATACACACACACGTTGGCACACACACACACACACACACATGCGTGTGCTTGCACACACACACACACACATGCGTGTGCTTGCACACACACACACACACACACATGCGTGTGCTTGCACACACACACACACACATGCGTGTGCTTGCACACACACACATTCACACGCTCGCACACACACACATACACACACACACACACACACACAAGACAATGCACTTTTTAGATTTACAGAGTCTGTAAACCTGAGGTGGCCGACGAAGAACAATGGCGGGAGCAGTCAATGGGAGGGCACACACCCTTCCTGTTGTCCTGTTTCACCTGTTAACAGTCTACTTACCCTTTACTTACAGTCTAACACTTGAACAATTTCTTTTAATTCTTTTATATTCCACATTAACCTCTCTCTCCCTCTCTCTTCTTGCTAGTCCTTGTCATTTTCTATACAGTTCTCCAGTACTTTACCGAGTGATCCTGAAGGGCCGATAAGGTGGAGAGGTTATACACGAAGCTCCTGCCAGCACTACTACGTCATTTGTTTTCTTCCCCATCTCTGGAATTTCCTTTCCTCTCACGTCTTGCCACAACATGCAACTTACAACATTAAATGTGGGGTGTACACTCACCTCCTATTACGCTGTTCAATTATACGTCTTATTCTCTCTTATCCACAGAGTACTAGGCAAGTCCAGTTTGAATACGAGTAAATTTTCAGTTATATTAACGTTTAGAGGACAATGTCATGTCTACCTACCTTACTCCAACACACAGTTAAAGAGCAGTTCATGATTGTCGCCTTCCTTAACGCCGACCTCCAACTTCCGTGCTCCCACAGGTCCTCCCTCGGGGCTCTCCAGGCCATCTTCAGCTCTCTCGCAGGAAATGTACAAGTGTCAGTATCTACCCAAACAGTAGGTCGTCCTAACCACGGCTTGCGACCTAACAAATATACATCATCGAGCTGTATTTACTGGTGCAGGACCCCGGAGAACTCCTTCTACTGCTGCGGTCAGCCCACCACGCACAGGCCCGGTCAGTGATGCATGCATGGCCTACTCTTGTGCTACTGTAACGTATAATGTGTCAACATAGTTATATAGTATATACAAATTTTTCTTTATTTCAATGTGATATGAATACCTACCGCAACAGTTATCATATATTTAGCGCAACGAATAAAGCTCAATTTTCTTGATAATATAATCTGGTTATTAAGTCATAAACACAACACTACAAAAACTGAAAGATATATAAACGTGACCATTGGACCACTTTATGACCAGTCTCACTTGCATTTTAAACAGGTAGTTAACTGAATGGTGTAATATAGAGTTTAATGGCAAAAAAAAAAAAAAAAACTAGGTAAATCACCAAGCAAATTTGATAAGCTTAATTCCGGAAAATTTATTTCAGTATCGACGGCACACAATAAACTCCATCAACAATCACATGAAACCTTAATAACAGTACTTTACTGTTTTTAGGTTATAAATCATTACATTTATAGTTCGTTTAAATAGTAATTTCTCTAGATTAATTACCAGTATTACAGTCACATGAAATTAAACTACCTTACCACAACCTGAAGAAAGCGATCAGAGTGGCCTGCGTGGCTACCTTCCTCCTGCTGACCATCTCGTCACAGCAGGAGTTAGCGCTGTGCGGGTTCTACACGGTAGCCAGCACTGACCAGACGAACGCTGCCATACCTGAAATATTGAGACGTTCGGATTGCACAATGTCGTAAGTGGCTTTGAGGCAAAATATTGGTGCTCGGAATCCGTATTGTATAGATAGTCACTACGCTCAAGTGTCTCATTAAATAAATCAATGTAAACTAAATAAAAGTTTTTTCAGGATGCTTGATGGTACTTCTGTGGACTCATAACTTAATATTTTCTCACTACAGATAAACCCGGGTGTTGCCCCAAAGTCCGCCCAAACTGCCCCAGACTCGGGCCACCGGTGCCTTGTACTCACGACTTCGACTGCGCTAACGCAGCGGACAAATGCTGTTTCGACAGGTGCCTCGAACAACACGTGTGTAAGCCAGCCAGGCCTTGTTTTGGGTAACGACAGCTGCAGACATCAACAAAGGTGTGCTTTCTCCTGTCTGTCGCACATTCTACTAGACTGACCCATAAGTGAGTCAGGTGTAAATTTTTCATGTTAACTTCATAAGTTACACGAGTAAAAACTGTATTTGTATATTACTATACTGGTATTAGAGATGGCCATTCATATTCCAGCTGGCTGATGAGGACCTGTCTCACATATGCCAGATATGTGCGCAGGTCAGAGATGTTTGTTGTGGTGAGAGTATTGGGTGTAATAGAGAATCATATGAAAGATCACACACAGGAAGTATCAAGCCAACGCTGCAGTGTCTCTATAGTTCCGTATTATCAACAAGAACGTTCGTTTACACTGCACATTTGAGAGCATCAGGAGTGTTGTACTGCTTGCATTTTTTTGCCTCGTTTCTCAACCACATTGTGCAAAAAATAATTAACTACATTAAAGTGAGGATCGTAACCACAAGAAAAGTTGTTTCCTTTTAATATAAAACATGTATTGCCTTCCGTTATGATAGCGAACAACTCAGCCAGTGAACATGTCCAGTACACACACTACAAGGTATTATGCAGTTCACTTCCAATCACAAAGTTATATTATTGAATTTGTTATTATTTGGCGATAAAGTTGAATAAGTTTCAGTCGACTGTAAAAGTTATCTTAATTTATACATTTATTGTTATTTTAGCTGTGCTGCCTTAATAAACTATAATAATTAATGTTAACAGTGCGGTATTGTCCTCCGTGATGTAGCCTGCTTTATTATGGTGCAGTGAGGATTTGTGTTTCTCGAAAGAAAGATAAAAATACGCCTAGTCAACACAAGAACAACGAGTGGCCGTGTTTATCTCCAGAACACTTAAACTGCCCCACACCCCACCAGGAGGACTCAAGACCAAGGATGCTATAGCCAATGTGACTCAGGTGTTGACGGCCAGGAAGTCCAACACAATAGTATTTACTGTAAATTAAAAATCATATAATGTGTACTTAGTTTGTTGTTACCGTTAATATAAATTTTTTGTCTACAGGAACCTGGTGAATCAGAATTATCTGATATGTTGAGTACAGTATTGGCACTTTAATTTTTGTTTTATTATAGTAATTTTTATCCGAGTACTTGAGTACTTTATAAACTCTTTTTATTCAAGTAAATTTTTCCAAATACTTCGTCCGCCACTCGTTGTTTGTGCGGTACTTTTTCCCGCTGGTAATGTTTGCTTTTAATTACTCTGTACCTACCGTAAGATTAATGCTCTTTATCTTCCTTCTTATATTCCTTGTCTTCCGGGGCAAACATTGCATAAACAAGCTTCAAAAATTTCAGCTTTACCTCTCCAATTGTAGATTCTTCCCAGTTTATACTCTCATGTAATGTGTTCCTCTAGCGCTGGTAGTCATCATGAACGTCATAATATTTTCCCTCAAATACCACAGCTTTACTTTTTAAAATTGTGTTCCGTCTTAGAGTAGTGTGGTGGCTGACAAACATAAGTTTTTCCCAACATGAACTTTGTTACAATGTGAGAGAAATTATTCTTGCGCGAAGTCGAGGAAATCCTCCACCTCGTATTGTGATAATGAGCTTATACAGTCTGTTGTTGTCTTTTATTATCTCAATGCTCGCGCTACACTCAGTCAACAGCTCTCCGGAAAAAGGACTGTGACTATAGGACATCACAAATAAACATAATAAAAGAGAATCACAACCTAACACTACTAATGTTTTCTGTCTCGCTGGTTGTACACATGAGGGTGGGTTCACTTCGTCTCAGTTTCCCCCCCAAATATAGTGTTGGTAGTCAAGAAAGGTTAATTAACAGAAGAGAATAGGAAATATATGTAGGAGGGAAGCAGGAAGGAAGAGAGGGAGGGAGAGAGGGGAGCTAAACCTCGGTCGTTGACGTTACACTGAGGAAGTGGGAGGCCGAGGGAAACGGAGGAGAGTGGGGGGGAGGGGGGGTTAGGACAGGTGCTGTGATGGGGAGAGTTGAAAACAATAACATTTACTCACCTGACACACAATAGTATCACCAGTATACTGAGTGAACACAGCCCCACCCCTCCACACCCTCTCACGATACCCACCCTTCCACACCCACCCCAACCCACTCTCAGGTCCCCACACCCTCTCACAACATCCACCTCTCCACACCCACACCCTCTAACAACACCCACCCCTCTACACCCTTACAACACCCACCCTACTATTACCACGACCAAGGTGCATTATCATGCATTTCACAACAGTCCTTTAGGTTTTTAATTTCTCTGAATAGCTTAGCGTCATCTGTTAGCCTGTGGACGGGAGAATGAACAGCACCTGGCATATCCTCTATGAAACAAACACCATCGGTCTCGGCACAATGTTTTGTGGCTCACCTCTTACCATGGGTTGCACATGACGACCTCGTGGTAATTAATCTCCACACGCTGCTTGGGTTCTTAAAATTTCCAATCCACGCCAAAATATTCCCCAAATTATGAATCCTTCCAGTTTAATTTTCGGCCTTTCGTAGGGTAGCCTACTCTTTCAAATACCTCGGCAATTCAAGGCATATATTATAGTGCCAATATTGCCGCCACGCTCAGGGAGCTATGGCCACATTATCCAACTCCTCCTGCAGCTGCGACAAATAAAAACGTCCGGGCATAAACCCGTGCTGGTAGTCCTTCACTAGGGTGTTCCCTTGTACTGTAGATGGTCCATCATGGCATCACTTTTAATGTTCTCTAATACTTTATAACTGTACAGGTCAAAATCACCGACCTGCAGTTATTCGTGCAGTGGCGATCGCCTTTTTAATATAAAACTCAAAAATGCTAATATCCAATCATAAGTGATCTTTTGTTCATCCATACTCCCAGGGCCAAGGGTATTATGAACCGTGAGCTTAGATAATTTAGTTATAACCATAATCTTCTGAGAACATCCTGTATATAAACAAAAGCGCAGCTGTGAGTGTCACTGCTGCATATGCATGTGATAAGCATTTCCCTGGCATCATACTGTACCTCGCCTCGCATCCGCCACAAAAATTCGCGCATGAATAATTCCAGGACAAACTGCTAGATCCCTTTGTTCATGTCATACCTGCTGATAATATTCATCACAGTTCATTTTTGTTGCGCATTATACGGTATAATTATTGTTCGTCTCCGTTGTTGCATATTGATAATGATTCTCCTATATTGTAGCAATAATAATTTGGACAATATAAAATAACACCTCCAAGGTCTAAATAAATTTTCATATAATACCGAAATTCTTCATCATCATCGTTTCACAGCCATTTTTCACGCTTGTGTGGGTTAACCGCGATTTACCTGGTGGTAACTGTTGGGTAAAACCAGAACGAGATGCCCACCCCCGTCAGTTCACTACCACCAGAAAATGCAGCCCAGACCCCAGACCAGGGATGGGTAGAGCTCAGGTAACCAGGTTTCCATCAGGCATTTTGAAGCAAAGTCTTACGGCTGGATGCCCTTCTTAGCATCAACCCACAGGGTGTGAACTATTGGCAAGGTAGGTGGCATGGTCGCAACTCCCTGAAGTAACCAACCCTAATCAATGTGCCAATATGTAAACTCGACCTGCCACCTCCGCCTTAAATATTGCGTAACTGCACTACGATTTCACAATACTAAGAAGCACTGAGGTGGAGAAGTGACGCTTGTACAGTACATAAAGCAAGAAATGGTCAATTATGGCTAAGAAATATTAGATTATGAAGTAAGAAAAGGTAGATAATAAATTTACAAATACAATTTATAAAATAAAAATTGCAATTTAATAAAATAAAATTTTCATTAAGGCAAATTATTTTTGGACAAATAGAGAGATCGACTAGCTGAACATAAAATCACAAATCTTCCGCAAGTCAGCTTGCTGTCTGTGTGCACACCTTGACACTACCTGTATCACGTAGTCACAATGGTTCTGGGGAATAATATTGAACTTCAGTTTAATATGACTACAAAGAGTTTTAATTTGGCATAAAAGATTAAAACAATATCGATAACACGACAAAAAAAATGAAAATTACAGTTGGATTTAATACGCTAAATGTGTATAGCATTCAATTAAACAAGTTTCTGTAAACATGAAGAGCGGTTTGTTTGTCTGAAAAAATTACCAGCAAAAGATAATTGTGCAAAAAAACGTGTCGGTAGCGTGGTTAGTTGGTCAAGCTATCACCGGAGCATGATTAGTTGGTCGAGACGTGTCCGCAGCGTCATTAGTTGGTCTAGACGTGTCGGCAGCGTCATTAGTTGGTCTAGACGTGTCGGCAGCGTGGTTAGTTGGTCAAGATATCACCGAAGCGTGATCAAAACATAAGAACATAAGAAAATAAGGAGCCTGCAATAGGCCCGTTGGCCTGTGCATGGCAGCTCCTGTCGAGAGTTACTACCACTCTCTATCATCCATGAATCTATCCAGCCTCCTTTTGAAACTTTCCAGCGTTCCAGCATTTAATACAAAGTTCCTAAGCTTGTTCCACTCGTCCACCACCCTATTTGTGAACCAGTTTCTTCCTATCTCCCTCCTAAACCTAAATTTATCCAACTTAAATCCGTTGTTCCGAGTCCTATCCTGCTCGGATATTATAAGAACTTTATCTATATCCTCTTTATTGATTCCTTTCACCCACTTAAATACTTCTAACATATCTCACCGCACTCTTCGTCTTTCTAGGGAATGCAGCGTGATTAGTAGGTCAGGATATCACAGGAGCGTGTTTAGTTGGTCTGGACGTTTCGGCAGCGTGGTTAGTTGGTCAAGATGACACCGAAGCGTGATTAGTTGGTCCAGACGTGACAGGAGCGTGATTATTTGGTTTAGTCGTGACGGGAGCGTAATTAGTTGGTCTAGACGTGACAGGAGCGTGGTTAGTTGGCTTAAACTTGACTGGAGTGTTATTAGTTTCGTTGATTATTATAAACAAATGGGTGAAGGGTCATTAGCTAATGTAGAAAGTGGATAAAACTCCACGGGTGGTTACAAAACATTAGGGCGGTAGGTTAAGGGGGGAAAGCCAGTTAGTTGGAGTAAACAAGGAGCGGAGCGTGGTGTTGGGCGTATACAAAGGCCACCGCGTAGTGAAGCAGACAAATTTTGTACAATGATGAGTAACATTAGGGCGGGCTGGCGTCAGGCAGGTGTCCCTTTGTGTGTGTGTGGGTCCCTCATTTGCCTCGGCCATTGTTTCTGTGGGTATTTAAAGGCCGCTAGAACTCTCTGTACGTCAGTCACACGTGGAAAGTAAACCACAACAGGTACACTCCTCTGTTAGTCACTGCAGTCACTCTCCCTCCCAGTACTTTGCCGTGACAACGCTGCTACAGCTGAAGGCGAGGTTCCGGTGTACTGCTAGACACTCCTACAGTCTGTACAAGCACCAGTTACTCATACAGTCACTCGACAGCTATGGTAAGTGATCATTGTCATTGTACACAGTTTATGTTTTCCACGGTAAATTTTATTTTAATTTGTTTACATGGCTGAGATTTCCCCATTAAGTTCTTTGTTCTGTAACTATGATTTAGATTTCAAAAGGTTGTCATATAAAGAGTAATATACAGTAAGTATCGTAGTAATAAAAAAACGAAAATTAGACAACTCATCTTCATAAGAGTTGACTTTACTTTTATTTGAAATGTTAATTCATCATTATTTTATATATTAAGGAAAGCCAATTAAGTATTTGTACTAATTATGTATCACTTCAGCGACACTCCTGGACAACTTTATTGTTCAGGCTGTTACCATAATCGACTCTTGTTTTAATCTTTTTTTGTTACAAACTACTGTTGTTGTGGCTTGACTTGGAACAATATAAATGTATCTTGTCAACATCATTTATTACATCATTAACTTAAGTGTCCCATACTCTCGCAAGGTACAGTAATTATTTGAATTTCATTTGATATTCAGTAACATGTTAGCGACTCTTCTTTTATTCTATTGACAATCAACAGAAAATTTATTTATGATTCAACTGTGAATCATAGATACTGTGCGCTGTTAAGTGAAGCTATTAATATGAAAACTGATGTGTAAGAGGTTAATAAAGTAGCTTTCAGGTTTTATCATTTTGTTTTCAATAATAATAATTGTTGTTTGTTATCATTATTCTTGTAGTTGCCTGGGGGTGGGGGTATAAGAAATATAGTCCGTGGAGAACAACTGACAATGGTGATCAACGTGGCTAATTTACTATTATGTGACTTACTGTACATCTTGATCTTATTCTTGTTTCAGAGAATGAATACCTTAGTCCTCGTGGTGGTAGCTTGTGTTGTTGTTGGGAGTTTATCCTCACCTACTCCCTCCGATGCTCTGACCGAGACTCACCAAGACTTGACGACCATAATTCCAAGTGACTCAACTTCTGATGATACGAAAGAGAAACCTCATGATCGCATCCTCAACTGGGGACCCAACAGTTTGGGAGGTAATGGGTTTGGTAACTTTGGAAGCGTAGGGCAGTACCCGAACACACCTAACGTGCACATGCCCAGTCAACAGTACCCAGGAGGACTGTACCCGGGCCACCAAAACTTGCCCGGAAAATGGCCAGTGGTGCACCCCGGCCAACATGGGTCGGAGCCGAGGTACCCCACAACCGGGTGTAAATACTACTGTTCACGTTACAACCCTTGGGACATCTATTGTTGTGAAGGTCAGTCAACTTTACTGCTTTTTTAAGTATAAGGAGATTCTGAGGTAAATTTTAGTCATAATTTATACAATACAGTACAACTTATGAGGATGCCAGCGATCGTCGACCTGTTGGTTTGATTTCTAAAATTAGCATTCACCTTATTGTGAGTCTCTCAAAGTCTTAAACTTATGAGAGAGAGAGAGAGAGAGAGTCAGTAAAGTAGTCCTACACGCTTACATTGATCCATATAAGACTTATAAGTTATACAAGTTTGCATTAGTTCAGCATGCACATAAAGATAAATATTTATAAAAATTTACAGTGGTTCACCGTGTGCCTGAATAATCAAGTTATACAAACAATGATAATTTTTTAGGTAAGTCTATTCACCCAAAGTCGTTGAAAGTTGTTTCCAATGTGGATTATATATGGTACAGTCGCCCCTTGTGTTGCTCCACGAACCAAGAGATTCAGACTCATGAACCCGAAGCAGTAGACACTGGTGCATTATTCTGCCCATAAATGCTTCGGATTCATGAGTCTGAATCTCGGGGTTCGTGGAGCAGCAAAAGGGGCGACAGGACTTCTGTTCACGACTGTACATGTAAGATACTCAGGGTGTGTCTCGTTGAGTAATGAGATTATACTGTTAGATGCATTATTTACAACTGCAATTTGCTTTACTGCCTTCAGAGTCAACTTCATACGGGAAACTTCAGTGTCCAGAGATAAGAGAATCCTGCCCTGGCAGCTTTCGTCACAGCGCCTTGCAATACTGCGTACAGGACAGAGAATGTCAGTATGGTCAGAAATGCTGCTTCGATGTGTGTGTACATCGACACGTGTGTAAAGCTGCTGAGCGACGGTATGGTTGAACTCTCCTGCCATACCTCACTAGCAGTCACACTCACCAAGAATTCAGTCTTTACTACAGTACTACTACCGCCAGACACTCTTGGTACTTATACACTCCAATTCTCAGCTTTACTCCTGTTATCAATCGTCACCATGTCTGAAGGGCCCCACATTAGTCTGCGATGTCCCGCGACCATTACCAGCGGTTACTAGGTGTGTGGTGCCCCATGGCTACTGCTTTAGATTCTTCGCAGACCATCAGTAATTTCAGTAGGCGTCACCAAACAATAATCACAATATATTGATCGCAATGTATTAGGTGTTGCAGCGGTTTAGAGGTTGCTAGTACTTCAATTTTCATAAACACAGCTAATGAATAACTCTGGTAAATTGCTGACCTGCATTAGGATTCCTGTAAGATAACAGCGTTTCAATAAGCGTTAGGGTTCATGTGAGTGTAACACAAGAAGGAAAAAATAATGTTAGCCATTTTACCCAAGAAACAGTTAAGACATTTTTATATTAAATGGTTACTGAAAGTATTAATTTTGCAGCTATGAATTTGGTCAAAGATTTTCTTGTAATCTAGAATATACTGTACACAATTTACGATGAGCCACTTCGGCCTCAGTGTGCCTAAAATAATATCTTAATTATGTATTGTTAACTTACATTTTATCCGGTATATTTCTATTTCCTTAACCTTTGGGGAGGATGTGATAACAAAAATCCTGGGGAGCATCGAAAATATATGAAATCAATTAAGAGTGTGTGTCTAGTTAGATGTATTCAGGAGTCGAAGCTTTGTTCCAGTCACAGCTGAAGGTTGAAGATGCCACAAGTCCAGAAAATTGTGAGAATTGCAAACCCTTGGAACAATCCGACAGAGTGTTGTGATGGCACCGAGTGTGAGCTCTTTCAAGACCAGATTTGACCAACACTGGCACAGGTACAGATATATTCTGGAGCCAGTACTTGCCAACAGGGCGTAACAGAGACGTGCTCGATCAGTGGCGAAGAGGATAAAAGTAATTAAAAGTCTTGTAGGGGTCGGTGATGCTTCAAATATTCAATTTAATGATATTATATTTTATAAGTGTGTAATTACTCTTCCTAACAGGACTCTTAGTAATAACACCAGGACTAAAAGCCTCCCTGCGCTACGTTGTTACATTCGCCAAAAAGTAAAGTGCGACCCGCATACACTTGTTCACTCCGTACACCCAAACAACTCAAACTACATACATGGATACTCGGATGAATAACACACCCAATAAGTAACTCTCTCGTAACAATGCTTATGAGCTGGTCATATTTACTCCACATGTGAGATCAACAGTAGGACAAAAAACACTTCTGGCTACCTCCTCTGAGCAGCTGGCTGTGTGTAAGATCTCAAAACATATCTCTTAACACCATGTACTCTACACATAAAGTTAAATGCTGCTTTCAACATAGACTCAGTACACCTTGAATGCATCATCTGTAATCAGACCTATCTAACTTAATGTAAAACATATGCATTCACTATCAGTTTCAAATCTCTGAACATCATATGAGGTATTAATAAATATCAGAGTCCTTAAGGTAAATGAGAGAAAACGGAGGACTCAGGCGAACTGAACCGGTGAGAAAACGGACGTCTCAACTGGGGACTCAATAAAGAAGTTACAGCTACGTGTTTTATGGGCTATTGAGCGTAATATGAATCGTCTGATTATACATGGTCAGCACATTAGCAGACAAAAGACGTAAAAAGTATAAAAGTGATTTTCACAAAACATGTATTTTTCTTCGATTTCATGAGGTGAAAAACTGTTTAAGGCTGAAATGCCATAATTAAAGTGGATAGTTAATGCGCACAATTAATCTACTTTCACCCATAAAAATTCTCAGGTATGAAATATTGCACAGGATTTACTCTTAATATTGGTCGGTAATTAAACTTTTGATAACGTCTAGCAAGCTGCTGGTTTGAGGGAGTTATCCATTGCCTTCTCATATTCTATGATGCTAATATTTGCGAGGTAAGCTTATATATTTTTGTAATATGTACAAAGTTGACTTAGGTATAAGTTAAAGGAGTTACATCAAATATTACATTACATTACATTATATTACACTAAGGGGAAACATGAATTAAGACTTAGAAGTTGCCAACACTTACTTATATATTGAGTCTTTGAAAGGGAGAGAAGAAAAAAGTATAAATAGTTTACTCCATAACGTTTCCGTCGGAAATGTATATTTTTCGAGTATTTTGACCGATAAAATTAACAACACATCGCAACATTAGTTGTTCAAAGTGGGCAAGGCTTTGAAGTAGAAGGAAATGTGATGTAACTCTTTAAATTTATACTTAAGTTAACTTTGAACATATTTACAAAAATATATAAGTTTACCTCGAAATAATAACATAGAATATGAGAACTCATATAGTAATAGTAATGGAAGTATTACGCTTATGTTAACCGTGGAAGCCAACTGTTTGTTTGGTTGTGGACTAGTTTAGTGACGTAAGAGCGGATCGTTGACGAAGCTTCGAAACTCATGACTATCCTTCGTTAATACTTATCAGTTTTATTTTAGGTAATGGTGGATAGAAGTGATTTAAGAAAATTAATGAGATTATAGATGACGGACCAATCGTGTATGGTGTTCTTTCCGCCGTCCAGTCGATTATTTTCATATGAATCAGTAAAGCGAACCAATGAATTAAGGAACCGAAGCACCTCAGATTCGCCACTCGCCAGTGATCATTAGAGGTACGGCAGTGGTGGCGGCAACATGTGTGTGTGAGGTCATACAGTATTTGATCGCTATTTCCATGTTTTACGTTTGCTGTTTTTGGATTACCTCGTGTTTGTGGCGTCGTGAGGACTTCCAGGACTCTACGTTGTGGTTATTAGCAGTTGAGTGAAGGTAAGGTGATAACAAGTTGTGTTGTTGTACTGTGGGGTCCAGGGAGGAGGAGGAGGTAGTGTAGCTCTCCGCCGTGTGTACAGGAGTTGTGGTGGTATTTGCAGAAAATAACAGGGCTCACGTGGGATTTCGGGAGCGGTCCACCGAGGGCAATCACTTCAGGTTGAAAATCCAGCCAGGGAGAAGGAGACGAACCAACAGCAGGGATTCACTTGGATCTTGGGTTGTATATCGTAACGTGCGTATTTCTCTCCCACAGGTCCAGGGTTCGAATCGCCTCTGGTTTAAATGTATGTCTGACGTAGCACGATTTCCGGTTTTCGCCTGCACCAACATTGGATAAACTAACCTCCCAGATGGCTTATGTCCCGATATCAGGTGTTCTTACATATGGTAAACAAAAATACTCAGCCTTTGGATACACCCCTAGTAACTACGCCACTAGCAACTACGCCACTAGCAACTACGCGTGTATTATCATTTTATATTTAGCCTTTCATCCAGAGGTTTGCCACTGAGGGAATTAGTATGACTGAACATTCATAAATAGTAAATGAGGAACTCTGAGGTAGGTTATTATTGCACGGGGACGAAGCCATAATGTGGGGTGAAATGAAACCTAACCTAACCCCTGTAAATCAAACCAAGTGTGTCTGTAGTGATGATGAATTGTCTTATAATAACTGGGGATCATTCAGCAGCATCAATCATCATTATTCATCATCACCATTATCATCATCATTCATTATTTATCATCATTCATCATCATCGTCGTCATCACATATATGCCATCATTATCGTCATCATTCATTATTTATCATCGTCATCACATATACGCCATCATTATCATCATCATCATCATCATCATCATCATCATCACACACCACACATTACCACCCCTGAGACCTCTCCCCCGCCCGCCTTGACTACCAGCAGTGTCAGTTGGTACAAATTAGTGGTTATTTCGGTTCGTTTACGACATTTTGTAGATTTTTCTCATAAAAAATAAATATATCGTAACATACCAAATAAAAATCTTTGTTTGGCATATGCAATAAATTCTGATTATCTACATGACATTACGTGTAATTTATTCAGAGTGTATTCATCATGCAGAACCTCTACCTATGGGAATATGTCAACCTGTCGTTTGTATCATGAGTTCTGAGTGGCTGGTCACCACAAAGGAAGGGCTGAATCTGTATCGAGAGTTATGAGTGGCTGGGTACCACAAACGAAGCGCTGAATCAGGAGTCGAGCTTGGGGCCACATTTTTCTGAACCATCTGTGATTTTTGTTGATGAGCTGAATAAAAAACTTTTCCTATTATTTCCTGCAGAAGCAACTCAGTTTTTCTGTTAGTGAGCATTTACATGTAATATCCGGTCCTTATCATTACAAGAGCGTCGATTAGATAGAAGTTTCGATCGGGTGGTTCAGTGTCTGGGAGTCGAGCTCTCAGTTGTCACTTTGGAAGGTATCAGTACTTTCTTATGGTGTCAAATTAAGCAAAACAAATATGGCCACGCCAGCCATCCGATTAAGTGTTATTACTAAGTTCCCAAGTGACGCTTTATATCATGTGCTTCAACACCACAAGAGCGTATGTTCGTACTGGAGATGGTTCAGTGTGTGGTGGAGATGTGGATGACCTTTAGACCAGGGACAGCCAGACGTGGAGGGAGGGAGCCGGCCAGTAGTGAGACGGTCGAGGCGATTAGTGGATGTGTGACGAAAGTTAACGTTTATAAAATGCTCCTAAATTAATACATCCAGTTGTCAAGGATTATAAAATACAGACGCCATCATGTGTGTGTTGGTGTTGAAAAATATAAGGTATGTCGCTGTGTATATTTCCCTTACAACTTATTTCTCTCTCCAATCTACGTCAATTCGATAGCCCATTAATTATATAGAAATGTTGATGACTGGGACTTAATTATACTGAATGATCTTGACAGCTTCACTGGGGTAGAAATCCATTTCAACGTGATTTGGTTGTAGGAGTTTAAGGTTAGGTACCAGAACAAGGCGACCACCCACGCTGATTAATCCGACCTTCTCCCCTAGACCATTATCCAGTTTACCATTTATACGGAGTCCTTTAACACGGCTTTAGAGGATTATGAACATTAGATTAACACCTAATCGTGTCCATGATCAAACCTTATAAGTGGTTGTTCCCAGTCGGCGTAATAATGTCTCAACTGTGTACATTATGCCTTCAGTCTTCATTGGTGTATTCTTAAGTGTTCTAAGTGGTCTATGATTGTCGGGAACAAAATGTAAACAGCACTTTTAGGCTAAAACGTATGTAACAATATAAGTAACTAAGCACTCAGCGCAGCCAAACTCAGCTCGACATTGGCCACCACGTGAATATTAGGCACCCAATCAGATTTTACTTGTTATACACAGAAGTGCCACTTTTGGTGGTGTGTTAGGGTAGTTAATCTTCAGGTGATATAAGATGGGCTGCTGCTATATCTTCGTGATTTCATAATTTTATCTTGTTTAAACCAAACACGATTTATATGAACGTTTTAAATCCCAGTGTAAGAGGCGGTGTTACCTTGTTCACCTGACAGTCAAATATTGTAGCCAGGAACAATCAGATCCATCTTGAGTACATCAGTGGTCACTGTGGAGGAATGGTGGTGGTGGGGAAGTGTCTGTGGTGGTGGCGGCGGTGGGGAAGTGTTTATAGTGGTGGTGGTGGGGAAGTGTCTGTGGTGATGGTGGGGAAGTGTTTATAGTGGTGGTGGAGAAGTGTCTGGTGGTGGTGGGGAAGTGTCTGTGGTGGTGGTAGGTAACTCGCTTGTCAACCTCCAATCACCAGTGTAAAGGTAATATTTTCGACAAGTAGAATAATATACTTTTGGGGGAGCTACGATTTACCCAAAAGTACCAAAAAAGTATAGCAAATAAGAGTATAATCTTAACGAATATCTGTTATACATACACAAAACATATTTAATATTATTTTTAGTATAATTTTGTAGAAATAATTTTTAAGCTGAAATAATAAACAGCGAAATACTTTCAGTATTGGCGAACGCTAAATTTCAAAGAGTTCGTGAACAAGGGAGATAACTCAGATCCATCGTGATGCACTTCGCTAACCTAACCTAACCTAACGAAAAGTAAATCCTACGGCTACGTTAAATACCCCAAAGTAACAGAAACATCGGTAATTATATCTCCATTTTGGATAGGTGACTCTTTGGAATGTAGCGTTTTTCGCTGTTTATTATTTCATTATTTTGACTACATTTCAATGAAAACATTATTAATCAGGTTTTATTGATGTAAAACATATATTCGTTAAGATTTACCCTGATTTAATATACTTTTGGGTACTTTTGGGTAATTCGTTGTGCCGTACTTTTGTGTTATAAATTATTACAGTCAAGTGAAGCATAATGGTCAAATAAACAGTTTACTTTCCATTATCACCGTATTTACTGTGTTGGGAAAAAATATTTGTGACCTTCGCAAGATATTCACTGATATTTAGGGAAATGAAGAAGACAAATTAAAGAATATCACTATCAGAAAAGAGGATGTTCTAAAGAAGATAAATAAATTAAAGAAGACAAAATCCCCAGGTCCGGATGAAATTTTCCCTCGAGTTTTGAAAGAGTGTAAGGAACAGATTAGCGGACCCCTCGTAAATTTATTTACAAAATCATTAGACACGGGAATTGTGCCAGACTTGTGGAAACAGGCAAATGTAGTACCCATATTCAAAAAGGGTGACAGAACATTAGCGTCAAATTACCGGTCGATTAGTTTGACGTCAGTAGTGGGGAAATTTCTTGAATCAATTATAGCAAATAACATCCGATCGCATTTAGAGAACAAAAATTAATCTACGATTCTCAACAAGGGTTTACAAAGGGAAAATCTTCTCTAAAAATCAGCTGACTTTTTTTTTTAGGAAAGTCTTCGAAGTAGTAGATAATGACGAAAATTACGATGTTATTTACTTAGACTTTAGCAAAGCGTTTGACAGAGTACCGCATCAGAGGCTTCTGAGAAAAGTTAAGGCTCATGGTATCGAGGGGAATTTTTAAATTGGATAAAATCATGGCTTACCGATAGAACACAGAGGGTCAACGTAGATGGTGTTAAGTCAGAGTGGGGCTGTGGAACCAGTGGGGTTCCCCAGGGGTCAGTACTGGGCCCACTCTTGTTCATAATCTACATAAGCGATCTAGATACTGGGATCAGCAGTGACATAAGTAAGTTTGCGGATGACACCAAAATAGGGCGGCAGATTAATTCAGGGAAGGATGCAAATGCCCTATAGGAAGATTTAAATGAACTGCAGGAGTGGTCAGTAAAATGGCAAATGAAATTCAACATCCAGCAAGTGTAGTGTACTTAATATTGGAAGAACAAATTCTGTCAATATATACAGCCTTAACAACATCAACCTAGAGAAGTCGACTTGTGAAAGAGACTTAGGTGTACTTGTAAGCACGGACCTACGGCCTAGAAAACAGTGCGTTAATGTTCGAAATAAGGCAAACATGAACCAGCTGGTTAAGTCAAAGTTACCAGGTTAGTTCATGTATATTATTATTAGGCTTTAGTAACGAAACCCAATTGAAGTTTCTTCCTTTATTAAAAAGTGTTATTTGCATAATTTCTGAGTGTAGATCAACCGGAAGTTCCACTATATATGAGTGTGATAAGAAAGGACAGCGTCTATGTAAATATTCGTGAATCAACGTCCGTTCTATGTAAGTTTGTGAGTGAGACTGAGTAGTGACCCATCGAGGGAGAACGGAATAGACGCTTAGTCCTCCCTCGAGGGAAGACGGAGCCATCTACTGCGGCTCTCAAATAACGTCTTCCTCTAGTCAAGGATATCAAGCTACTGCCCACTTTAGGTGGCCAGGAGCCGGCTACTTTATGCCTTTACTCAGCATAGTATGACGCAGCTTCCCTTGGGCACACCTTATCACGTGCATTCAACATGTCACCTCATAGCCAATGGAAAGTTACAGGGATGAGTCAGTATATAAATCAAATGTAAATAACCCATTTATATAATTCTTAAGTTTATGAAACATGGGCCATTACAAACAGTATTAGGTTTTATATCTAGAAATGTAAGTATTAAGAATGCAGAGGTCTTATTGCAACTATATCTTGCGCTTGTTAGGCCACACCTCCATTATGCTTTTCAGTTCTAGTGCCCGTATTATAGAATGGATATCAATTCACTGAAGTCGGTGCAGCGAAGAATGACGAAAATGATTCCGGGACTTAGAAACCTTCCCTATCAAGATAGGTTAAATAAATTAATCTTGCATTCCCACTTAAATACTTCACCATAATCACTTCACCATCACTACAATCACATCACCACAATCACTTAACCATCACCAAAATCACTTCGCCACAATCGCTTCACCACCATCACCACAATCTTCATCATCACCAAAATCACTACACTGTCACCACAATCACAATCACCTCAATTGTGTCTTATAAAAACTAACCCACATTATAGAAATATTGCCCAGGCGTTTAGTATCATTACAAAAAACAAGCTGATCATATGAATGAAAGTACTTCCGCAGTTGCTCTTCTCTGTTGCGATAAAAGGAGACACTCGTGCCAGGTTTTAAGAGTCGTTTCTCTTGAAGCCTGGAAGCTAACAATTCAGCAGACTGTTTTGGCAAATTTAGATCTCTGACCAGATCATTCAATTCTGACTGAGTAAACAACGTTGGCTTTTCACAGTCTTCACCAGATGGCTTGAAAAGATCAGTCTCTTCATCTTCATCAGTAGAAACAGGTGAATTCCGGTCTATATCCTCAATCTCTGGTAGCTCAGTAAATTCTGGCACGTTACGTGATGGAGCAAATCTGAGATCAGATTTGGATTCAGCACCTTAAAGTTAGTAAAAAACAGTTAAAAGGTTTCATGCCAGAAAAAAAAATATTTTTTTGTAGACCAGTGTAATAGGTGGATGGAAGTGAGTCGTAGCGAAAATTCAACCAATCATTTAGGAGAGAAAAGTGACGTCATTCACAAGCCACGCCCATACGAGGTGAAAAAAAAAACCACACAGACCCAGGAGCGGCATTGACTTCCTTACCCGCGTAGATTAATATAAAAACCCGTACAGTATTCGACTGACTGGTCATCTCTTCAGGGCTACTACGTCTCTGCTGGGTTTACCCACGAGTCCTTCATGTGGCCACACCTACATCGGCTCATTGTACACACTAAGTCCTTATTTTTTTATCGCCGTAGGGGTCTTGCACATGCCTTAGTTATGCCATGTGTAATAAGTGACTTCTAAGAGCTCCCCTACTTACTGTGAAACGCCCAACACCCTGTGACGGGACAACCTTACCTTACATACTGTCATTTAATAGTGTACTTATATGAGTGTCACCAATACAAGTAATTCTAACTATAACTGAAGTGAATCATTATCTTTACTTAAGTGGTTCTTAGTGCCAATACACAAAGAATCACTTTCTATCATTCTTACAAGTGTTTACTTAATATTTAATATAGTACTTGTGTGATTTCAGTAAGCATTATTATTATGTTCTGACCTGTGTTTAGGTTTCATTAGGATTAACATTTGTATGTAACTAAATATTTTAAGTACTGTATAATATTAAAACTGTCGCTGATCGTGTTCCGTACTCGCTGATCGTGTTCCGTACTCGCTGATCGTGTTCCGTATCCTCCACCACACTAAATTGGTAACTATTTACTTGACTGCTATTTACCTTGAGTACACTTTGCCCTGTGTACTGTGTTGAAACTTCTGGTTGACACTCTTGCCTAATTATCAAGTGATTATTGGAAGTGCTGTAACAAATCACCATACTGTAAACTTGAAGTTTTAATAATCCGTAACAGTATATTGAAAGTCAAACACGGACAGATAGAAAGATAGACACAAGAATACATAAGCAGTTAGATAGATAAAAAGATAAAAAAAGGAAGAGAGAGAGAAAGACAAATGACAAACAGGAGCACAATTACAACAGCTTGTCTATAGTTTGAGGGAACAAAGATTTTCTCTATGAAATATGAAAGCTGCCCCTTTAGTTTACCTTGCTATAGGTGGTGGTGGTGGTGAAGGTATTGGTGGTGACAAAATGGTGGTGGTGATGTCGTGGTGGTGGCTCAGTGTTGGTGTTATGGTGGTGTCGGCTCTTTTTCCATGCTCCACTTGGTCATTTTAAGCCGTGATGGCGCAGTTGAGTTCCCCCAAATTTGTTGTAACAACTCCTGTAGCAAACAAAATACCATATTTGGTATACAGAACTTGGGGAGGTTAGGTTAGGTTAGGTTAGGTTAGCATTAGGGCATTTAATCACCAAATGAAATAAGCTGGGGTATCAGATCTTCATGTTATCCATTCTTCTATCTAACGTTCTAATAATGGCCAGTAATGTTGATATCCTTGAACAGACCAAAGAGTTTCTTCAGTGGCTGGCGTGGATTTCTATGCATAAGCAGTTATTCGCCCAATAAATATTCAGAACTAAAGGTATTTACTCTCAAGGGCTGGGGAAGCACCTTGGTATTGCTATGTTATCATGTATTAAATTAGGCAGCACGAAAGACACAGCTCAGGGGGAAATAAAAAGTGTATAGGATTTATCTTGTTCTTTATTTTATATTACAAACATCGGAAGGTGAGTATATATGAAGCTGTCCCTCCCTTAGGTAACATGTCTCACCTTTACATTGTATACTGAATAAATTGTCCGACATTATCCAAGTTCGTCATTTTAGCGACCGAATTGCTGAATGGGTTTACACACATGTTCTTGAAGACAAGTGTCAAAGCAGCACTTGTCGTAACCACTGCAGGAACCGTCGTTGGAACAGGTCTGTGGGGGACCGAAACTCCTGACAGGGGGACAACTAGGACGGACAGGTGGGCAATATCCGGGCTTCACAGCGACTTGACTTTGTACTTGGCTGCTGTTCTCACAGCAATAAGCCTGACCCTGGGGTGTCCTGCACCAGTACCGGCAACCAGATGATCCACCACCGTGTCCACCTCCGTGTCCACCACCGAACCCACCACCGAACCCACCTCCGTGTCCACCTCCGTGTCCACCACCGAACCCACCTCCGTGTCCGCCACCGAACCCACCTCCGTGTCCACCACCGAGTCCACCTAGGAGTCCACCTCCAAAGATCTTAGAAGACTGGCTGCCGCTGCCGGAGCCCCTAGTCCTAGTGCGTCCTTGGGGAGTGTTGCTAGCGGCATCGTCATCGGCTGCCGCTAGGGCCACTGCCAATATGAGCACCACCACGAACTTCATCTGTCACAGTTCATAAAATGGGAGAGAATTATAACGATAATCTATCCAGAGCAACTGGCGTTTATGTTATGTAACTGAGAACTTAACTTCACTTTTCGGTAAATGAACAGTTACTAGTCTTCTTAATATTTCATGAATGATACTGTGTACACACTATTGAAGGGTCTCATTAACAGAAATATCTCAGTGGTAGCTGCAGCTGTTGTAAAATTAATCACAAGAAAGTGTGTGGGTGTGTGTGAACCACTGATGGGGTGTGTTACTAAGAAGGCTATAGACGTGGGGGTTAAGATACAGATATAATGATGGGTAATGAAAATAATTTATGGAAGACGGATTATTGGATGTATATAGACACGCACATGAGATTTATCTGTAAAAGATGTTTGATATAGAAAAGTAATATGGACTCACCTGAGGAGGAGCGGCGGACTGGTTGGGAGATGAACTGGAAGGTCTGTGTCGGTTTACGGATGGCCGCGACTTATATACCCGCTGAGGGACTTAATGGCCTTCACCCCCTCCTCCCCCTCCCTCCTTGAATGCCGGTTACGTAGTCCTTACCCTTCGCTCCCGTTAGATGTAAAAAATAACCATTATAACAACTTCGGTAGTAAGTTTACTCGTGGTCAACAACTACTGATCTTCATATTTACTTAACGTTTGGATCCTCTACAGCACTAGTAACTGAACCAACAAAGTTTAATGTTTTAACAACCTACAATCCTAATTTTAAATAGATATTAAACAATGAAAACTTGTTAAAGAGGTTTAGAAAAAAAAAATTAGGCGGGAGACGAGACAGCCCGCTGACTCCTATGAAGTGTACGGTCAGGGTGTTATGTAACTGAGGTCTTCTGGGAATTTCCCGCCAAGGATTTCCCCCGAAGAGAGTTGGCGACAAAGAGTATTACCCAGTATAAGCTAAGATGGCGGCCAAGACCAGGTGCTGGGTGGGGAAAGGAAAAACCCAACCAGGTGAAGTGACCGGGAGTGACCAGGTGAAGTGTCCGAGGAGTGACGAGGTGGAGTGTCTGAGGAGTGACCAAGTGTAGTGTTCGGGGAGTGACTTGATGGAGTGTCCGGGGATTGACCAGGTGGAATGACCAGGTAGAGTGTCCAGGGAGTGACCAGATAGCGTGTCAGGGGAGTGACTAGGTAGAGTGTCTGGGGAGTGACCAGGTGGATTGTCCGGGGAGTATCAGATAGAATGACCAGATTACTCATCCCATACAGGTATATCACCCATCTTGCGCTAGTCAGGCCTCACCTCGATTATGCGGTTCAGCTCTGGTGCCCTTATTATAGAATGGATATCAATTCACTGGAGTCGGTGCAGCGAAGAATGACGAAAATGATTCCGGGACTTAGAAACCTTCCATATCAGGATAGGTTAAAGAAACTAAACTTGCATTCCCTAGAAAGACGAAGAGTGCGGGGAGACATGATAGAAGTATTTAAGTGGGTGAAAGGAATCAATAAAGGGGATATAGATAAAGTTCTTATAATATCCGAGCAGGATAGGACTCAGAGCAACGGATTTAAGTTGGATAAGTTTAGGTTTAGGAGGGAGCTAGGAAGAAACTGGTTCACAAATAGGGTGGTGGACGAGTGGAACAAGCTTAGCAACTATGTAGTAAGTGCTGGAACGCTGGAAAGTTTCAAAAGGAGACTGGATAAATTCATGGATGATAGAGAGTGGTAGTAACTCTCGACAGGAGCTGCCATGCACAGGCCAACCGGCCTATTGCAGACTCCTTATTTTCTTATGTTCTTATGTCACTCATCTACATCAGCCATCTCCTACATCACCCATCTCCTACATTGTAGGTAGTAGGCAGCTACCAAACAGGGAGGTACTACCGCCTGGGAAGATATTGGAAGCATAATGTGTTGTCTAATGGTAGACCGTGCTGCCAGATGGCATCACGAAAATTGTGACCAAGTCCCAGGTTGATGATCTGACTTTCTGCCTCATTTACACACAATTGCAGGGTCTCAATTGTTTCTCTTACCATTGACAACACAAAATACATATAGCGTTTATCACTATTGATTTTTTTTCATTCTTGTATTTCTTTGTATTTATTATTATTATCAGTGTTAGTATTACCATTAATATTTTATTTTACTTTTTATTATAAATTTTATTTTGTATGAATTATTATTATTATTACATTTTCGCCCCCCAGGCCCCGATGTGGGTCAGTGACCTGTGCCCGGGTGGGCTAATCCCCGTAAAAAAGAAAAAAAAAAAAAAACGTCTCCTACATGACCCATCTCCTACATGACCCATCTCCTACATCACACCATCTCCTACATCACCCATCTCCTACATCACCCGTCTCCTACATCACCTATTTCCTATGTCACCCATTTCCTACATCACCCATTTCCTAAAAAACAGAGGAACTGAAATTGTACTGTAACACGTAAACACAATATTCCAGAAACTATTATTATCTGAATTACTATATAAACAATCCTTTCTCTATCACTCTGTACGTGTGTGTATTTGTACGTATATATATATATATATATATATATATATATATATATATATATATATATATATATATATATATATATATATATATATATATATATATATATATATATATATATATATATATATGTGTGTGTGTGTATTTAAATAATAATAATAATAAACGGTTTATTAATAGAGTTGCAGCCGGTGGCTGAAAATTTACAAGCTTAAGTTGGATTTAGACATAATGATATGCGTTGAATACATTTACAGGGCTGTACAGTACATAAATCAGGAGTTGTTTATTATTTTAACAATAGATGGGATGGTGCTATTCTCATATCTATCAGTGCGGGCTCTTATGGGCTGAATTTTGTTGTAGTAGCGGACTGCGCGAGGTGGGCGGGGGACTGCCGGTGGCAGAAGGTGGCGATGATGAGGATGGCGCAGTAGCCCACTGCCAAACCTTGCTAGTGCTTGGTGGTGGAGGTCACTGAGGGATGGCATTTCCAGGGTGGAGAGAGCGTTGTTGTAGCCGGAGTAGTTTGCGCCGAGCATGATTCTGCAGGCCCTTTTCTGTACCTTCTCTAGCTGACGTTGTTGGGTAGAGTTGAGAGAAGACGACTAGGCTGGTGACGCATACGTTAGTTTGGGGAGAATAAAGGCGTTGTAGATAGTCCTCAGCTCTGGCGTGGGTGCCCCAAGTGATCTAAGTCGTCGTAGCATGTAGAGTCGGTACGAGACTGCCTTGATTGTGTTGTTTACATGAGCCTTCCAGTCCAGTTTATGGTGATATGGTAACACTCAGGAGTTTGGCAGACTGCACTAGCTGGAGAGGATGGGCACCCACTGGGACTGCTGGAGCTTGCACTGGAGTGGTGGCGGTATTGATGTGCATGACTACGGTTTTGGTGTGGTTGATGGTGACCTTGTTCTCCGTAGTCCATGCCTGTAGCTTGTCCAGGGTGCCTTGTAGCGATGAGTAGTCCGGTGAGGTGTTGTCCACTGTAACCCCCACAGTGCAGTCATCCACGTACTTCCACCTGTGAGGAGTGTCCGATAGAGCGTCGTTGATCAGGAAGCACAGTGGTCCCTCCCATCTTGGTCTCCTGAGGAACACCGCAGGTGAGGTGTTGGAATGTAGAGACAGAACCCTGGTACCTGACTGCCTGGACGCTCACTCAAGAAATCAGTGAGCCATGAGACCAGGTTGGTGGGCAGCCCTAGTGCAATGGCCTTGTTGATAAGTTGATAACAGTGCAGTGATCAACAAGGTCAAAAGCCTTCCTCAAGTCAACAAGGGCAACGGCCAGTGATGTCTTACGTTTCTGCAGGTTTTTGTGCAGGAAATCCAGGAAACTTACTAAGCAGTGTGATGTAGAGGAGGTCCTCATATTGCCAAATTGCTGTGGATCAATTGACTGATAGATTCTAGCAAATGCCCACTCAAAAACAAAGTCTTCACAGAGTAGACTGGGTATGGGGGTAATGGCAACTGGCCTGAGGTCGTTAGGGGACTGTGGGGTGGTGACCTTGGGGATAGGGGTAACAAATGCGGTTTTCCATTCATTAGGGCATTTGCTTTGTCTGAGTGATGCATTAATAATAGAACAGACGGGGGTGGCAAGTTCGACTGCAAACTCCTTGTAAATTTTGATTGGGAGGTCAATTGGGGTCGTGGAGCGTTTGGATTTAAATTTCAGGATTTTGTTGGCGATTTCAAATAGTCGAACACTGGGAGGGGGAAGGTAAGTAAGCCGGGACGAAAGTGAGGTCAAGACTGGGTAAGGCATGACATATGGTAGCAAAGTGGTTATTAATTATCTCAGCTGCCTCCTCACTAGGTAAATGTGAGTTGAAAGGAAGTTTTGTAGACTGACGGTTAAGACCACAGAGATCTTTTACCTTGGAGTACCACTGACCGATGCCGACCTCCTTGAGGCCGTGCACTTTCCTGGGATAATAAGACTTCTTGGCTGACTTGATTTCCCTGATGACCTGGTTACGTAGACTTTTGTACAGGCGGTTGTTGGTGTAGTATGCCTTGTTGCGCTGCTCAGTTAGTCTTTTGATACGGGGTGTAATCCACGGGACATCATCGGGGTGGATCCTCAGTGTTTTGGCTGGAAAGAAGTGGTGGTGTGTGTGTGTGTGTATTTGTATGTATATGTGTGTGTGTGTATTTGTACGTATATATGTGTGTGTGTGTGTGTGTGTGTGTATTTGTACGTATATGTGTGTGTGTGTGTATTTGTACGTATATATGTGTGTGTGTGTGTGTATTTGTACGTATATGTGTGTGTGTGTGTGTATTTGTACGTATATATGTGTGTGTGTGTGTGTGTGTATTTGTACGTATATGTGTGTGTGTATTTGTACGTATATATGTGCGCGTGTGTGTGTGCGCGTGTTTATTTGTACAGAAGGGGGGGGGGCAGCTACAGGAGGGGACCGACTACAGGAGGGAGCCAGCTACAGGAGGGAGCCAGCTACAGGAGCAGGCCAGCTACAGAAAGGAGCCAGCTACAGGAGGGGCCAGCTACAGAAAGGAGCCAGCTACAGGAGGGAACCAGCTACAGGAGGGAACCAGCTACAGGAGGGAACCGGCTACAGGAGGGAACCGGCTACAGGAGGGAACCGACTACAGGAGGGAGCCAACGCAACCTTATCCGCCATTATGATGTATTAGACTAGAAGAGTCGGGTCGAGGCCTCCTAACGTGACGCTGGTGTCGTTTATTCCGTTTAGGTTAATGTAGTTTAGGTCAGGTTTACCTTATGTGACGTTGGGTCTGGTTAGGTTAGGTTAGCATGCGTGAGGCTCTGAGGTCACATTTCTTAACTATTCATGACACCTTAAACAGGACGAGCTGGTGGTGCGTAGGAACTTCTCGATGCATAACGTGGAGGTATGAAACAGGTAGCCATGTCCCCAAACCTGTGAAACACAACTGTAAAGGCATTGAGCAGATAAAGTTGCCAAAAACAGATTCCTGAGTATGTCTTATGTAGTTTAGAAGCGCCCAAGATAAACTATGAATTACAGGAATGAAGATTTCACCCAAAATACAGCAAAAGTAACATAGATAACATTGAGACAGAAGTTAAGGTTAGCGAGTAAATAATGTGGTCACGAGTTAGTAAGAAGGAAGAGGTGAAGAATATGTCTATGTCAGTATACAAGTATTAATGTTGACGCCTTTCATTCTTACTCTCGAGAACACGGATTTATTGACACTCATAACCTTAATCTTAACATAGGAAGCATTTACAGATTTACACCATCACTTATGTATGTTAGGTTAAGTTAAGTTAGGTTGGGCTTTGTTGGATTAGGTTAGGTTAAGTATATCAAACTATATGTCTATCGTTATTTTTTTTTTTTTTTGTATCTGAGTTTAACCTGAATTTTTAAGACGTCGTGGTTATGGTCGTACTGGTTCACACAGAATATCAGTCGGATCACATAAAGATTAGACACCCAAGTTTATTTCACCCATTACCTAATTAATTGAATAATGATTTAAGTTTAATCACTTTGACGCTAACCTAACCTAACCCAACATAACATAAGGTAAGATAAATTGATCTGACATAAGCTAAGATAACCTTACCTAACATAAGCTAAGATAACCTTACCTAACATAAGCTAAGATAACCTTACCTAACATAAGCTAAGATAACCTTACCTAACATAGTTTTTTTTAATCATAAGGTAAATTATGTTTGGGAGGGGCGGGGAGGAGGGTTAATCTTCAGTTGACCCCCCTCAATAACTACTGTACTATGCTATATTGGGGAGTTGAGGCCGGGACGTGTATACTGTACAGTGTTGCTGACGATGCACCAGTGGGATGTCGATTTCGCCTCTGGGCACATTCCTGATGGACCTTTAGTATACCTGTTCTCTGATCACACGTAACTCTGTGTCTATGTCGACTGGCTCAATTACGTGTTCAATTAGACATATCTGATGGTCATGAGACGGTCACAACCCCCCTCTTCCCATGCTTAGAAACGAGGCAAAAAACCACTAAACATAGATACTAGATAATAATCGTAAGTTACAAAACAGTGTTAGCAGCTGGTTCTAGATAAATTTTCACCTCCAGCATAAATGTGTTTGTGTAGCTGATATTCGTGAGAGTTTGAGTCTGTTCTTATTACCCTAACTCCAGAAATCAATAGTTACATCGTAAAGAGAATTTTCCGGTTTTTTTTTTGTCATTCTACATTACACTGTCTCGCTGCTCCGGCCCGTCAACACAGTCACCCCTCCTCCTCCCCCTCCTCCCCCTCCTCCTCCTCCTCCTCCTCCTCGTTTTTTTTTACCCAGTCTTACGTAACCCATCTTTCATCACACCCTCTTATTGTTCCTCTTCCTCCACCTCCTCCCTCTCCCACATTCCTCTCTTTCTTCTTACTCTATCATTTACCTCGTTTATCTCTTCCTACTATTACCAAGATAAAAAAAAGAGGAAGTGTCACCTGAGGATTAGGCACCCCAGTTTATTTCACCTGATGATTAAACTCCCTATCGTTGCCTAGAGGGGATTGAAAACGTACCCGACGTGGCCAATCAGCTCAGTTAACACTTGTCCTTGTATAACTCGTAATGTTATTGTCAAAGATATTTAACTATGAAAGTTGCAATAGCTCTCATATACTATGCTAAAGAGTCATGTTTTTAGCTTGCAATAGGTGGCTGACACAGTGACCAACAGCTTGATAACCAAAACACAACAGGAGGCTGACACTGACCAGCAGCTTGATAACCAAAACACAACAGGTGGCTGACACAGTGACCAACAGCTTGACAACCAACACACAACAGGAGGCTGACACTGACCAGCAGCTTGACAACCAACACACAACAGGAGGCTGACGCTGACCAGCAGCTTGACAACCAACACACAACAGGAGGCTGACACTGACCAGCAGCTTGACAACCAACACACAACAGGAGGCTGACACAGTGACCAACAGCTTGACAACCAACACACAACAGGTGGCTGACACAGTGACCAACAGCTTGACAACTAACACACAACAGGAGGCTGACACAGTGACCAACAGCTTGACAACTAACACACAACAGGAGGCTGACACAGTGACCAACAGCTTGACAACTAACACACAACAGGAGGCTGACACAGTGACCAACAGCTTGATAACTAACACACAACAGGAGGCTGACACAGTGACCAACAACTTGACAACCAACACACAACAGGAGGCTGACATAGTGACCAACAGCTTTTGACTTATACAAGGATGAATTCGACAATGAACAGTAAGAGCGACTTAAGATTTATCTTGTCAAATGTTTTCTTAATGTCTAACACATATAAAAGACGATGTACTAAACGCATTATGAAAATAAAAGGTAAATTTCTGGGAATTAATACTCATTCAATAATAATGGAATGTTCCTTGCGAAATCCAAACTAGTTTTTACAAAGGAAACTAACAAGTCGAGTTTCTTCAGGTGTTTTTGTCAAATCTTAGAAATCAACGTTTTTATCGCTATTGATGAATAATTATCAAAATAAGAAGAATCACTTACCTTATTTTTAATCAATGATGTACAGTACAGTCGAGGTCCAAACCCGCGACCTAAACTTACATCACTCCTTGTAATGTCTACTGTAGGAGGAAGATAAAATTACCATAATCTCTGTAATTCCTAACATTGATGCAGTATATTTGTAAACTTCAGCAGGCGTCTTAATATCGCCCTCAGCTTCAGATTTACCTGAGTTGTCACCCTAACTCTCCACCTCTGTCAGCAATACACCATCAGTATTTTTACCCTTGAACCTTTCATGTTATGTATTAACCACCGCATCGACAATATTTATAATTAGTTCGTATGAGTAGTAATATTTTGGTTCCTAAACAAAATCATATATCCACCCTGTATATGTAGTATTAGTTAGGCCTCCATGAAGTAATAAATAAGAACCCTTTTGTCTTTTAATGATTTACTGTTTTACGACCATCCTCTATAGGCCCCAGGGTACCTAGGGGGTGACCATACACTATTTCCTCCCCCCCCCCCCCTTCCTTCCTCCCACCAGGCTGAAGTTGAGTAACTCATCTCTCTGGTGTTGTGTACTAACCAACACCTCTGTAACCAAGGATTATCTGCAAACATTATTTTCACTTTCTTCTTAATATATCTGAGATTTTTCAAGAGCGCAAATTAATAAATAACCTCTCTTGTCACTTGAGATTTGATAATTATTCATGATATAGCATCAGTCCTGATTTACAGTGGAAGCGATGAATAATGTATAGAACAAGGATCTGAATCCCGGTAACTGACTCATCGTACACTCATGTTTACCTCGACCCTCTCTTCCTGTTAGAAATCAGACCAGCAGAGAGTTCAAGATTACAGAATTGGAATTACGAGGTATTTTCCTTTCACAATTTTCTATACTGACACTGATTTTCATTTTTAATTAATATTACACTACAAGTTTAGTAAATTCAAGTATTCTCTCTGTTGTGTTTTAAGTCTTTAGAAAACGTTGTCTCAGATGTCGAAGGTAGCATTTCTACTCAGTCGTTTTGGGTTGAATAAAAACCATTCACAAAATACCTATCGTTTTCATTCAGTTAATATTATAAATTAAAATACAAATAAGTTATAGGACAACAGTACATATAAAAGTAATTATATACAATTAAATTACTTGAGAGATCTTGTAGACGAAGAGATGTCAGTATAAGGAGGTAGGTACTGAGGGAAGCAGAGTCTTCTAGCGGCCGAACCCTGATGGAGCTTTACATACTTTCTCCTGAAGGCACTTGTCAAAGCAGCACTTGTCGGCGCCACTGCAGACGAAGTCGCTTTTACAGGGCGATGGGGGCCCGAGGCTCCTGTTGTGAGTACACACTGGACGCACCGGCGGGCATTGTCCCCTTTTCCCCCCAAAGTGGTTATTAAAGCCGCCAAATTGGTTGAAGCTGTTACCACCGAAACCCTGTTGTCCACCAAACCCAAAACCAGGCTGTCCACCAAAACCAGGCTGTCCACCAAAACCAGGCTGTCCACCAAAACCAGGCTGTCCACCAAAACCAGACTGTCCACCAAAACCAGGCTGTCCACTAAAACCTGGTTGTCCACCAAAACCAGGCTGTCCACCAAAACCAGGCTGTCCACCAAAACCTGGTTGTCCACTAAAACCAGGTTGACCACCAAACCCAAAACCAGGTTGACCACCAAAACCAGGTTGTCCACCAAAACCAGGTTGACCACCAAAACCAGGTTGACCACCAAAACCAGGTTGACCACCAAAACCAGAGCCAAACGTAGGTCTGCCAGAACCAAAACCTGGTTGTCTGCCAGGCCGTCCGGAATTCCCGAGAAGTCCACCTAAGAGAGCTTGTCCAATTCCGATGACATTGTTCAGACCCAGGATCCTTGCGTCACCAGGGCCGCTACGGGCACCACTGTTGCCTGTAGAGCTACGTGTTTGTCCCGCTGTATCGCTGCCCGAGTCGACCTTCTGAGCAGCGTTGTTGTTCCCTGCGTCCGAATCCTTGTCTCCAGCCACAAGAGCGACCACCACAACCAATAACCATAGCGACCTCATCTGCAACGTTACAATCTCATTAACTACATGATAACAGATATATGAAAAGAAAATGGCATCCTGTGTTAAGTGCGGAATTAACTTCAGGATAAATATTACGTACCCGACACACACACACACACACACACATGGATACTTAAACATGAGGTCGGAACTGGTTATCAAATTCTCCGGGGATTTTTTATCCATTAATCCACATGTTTGTTTTGATAACCCATTCTTCCATTTACTGGTTGTGTTAGCTTTCTAATGAAATTTTCCAGTTACTATTTCAATACAACTATTATTCATGATAAACTCACTTAGAATGTTCCTGTATTGTGAACAAAATACCACTTCAAGAGTTGAGGAACGTGGCAACTGATTACTGAGTATCGACTTTGAACCGCAGTCGGCAGAACTTACCTCTGCCGTAGTAGCTGGGGAACTGACTTAAGGTTCACAGGAACTCCTAACTCCTTTTGTAGTGAGGAGAGGGGCCATGGCCTTGTGTGGGATACAGCCGGCACTAGTTCCGGCCCACCTTGTGCCTAACGCAGCTCTACCACTCACATCGTTCATCCGCCTTGGCTTAGTCACAAAAAGCCCCGTATGGGTATTTACTTTCCACTGTTGTTTATTGCATCAGCTGAGAAATATCCCTGGTAGTTGTATATTGGTGCTTTATGATCCCAAGTAATTTCACAAATATTCAGTCAATCATATAATCAAGCGAGGACGTCCGGAGGCTTGGTGGGAGGGCAGCCTCAGCGTGGTGGTGCTCCCAGGAAGTGACTCACCAGCCGTCCATCCAGCACACAACATTGGTGGGAATTCTCCTTAGATTATAGCGCCTCCTTAACCCACAGCTGCAGGCGCCATTCCTCTGCAGGGATAACAGGCCTACACAGAGCGACGTGGTGAGCCCCTGGAGTGATAAGGGACCTGCACACAGCTACAGATGACCTTGATATTCACTCCAGTTTTTTCATCCCAGATAAATCTTTGTCATCTTTGTCACCTTTCTCCATACTCATCTTCTTCCCACACCCCACCTTGTCTCCCCATCCTTCCCACACCCCACCTTGTCTCCCCACCCTTCCTACACCCCACCTTGCCTCCCCAGCACTCCTATGGAGGTAAAGATCTAACATTATCCCTTTTTATATTCCACAAGGCCCATGATATCAACCTTTACAACACACACACACCCACACACCCCACACACCCCCACACACCACACCTCACACCCCCCACACACACACACACCCCCCCACACACACACACACACACACCCCACACACACACACTCCCCACACACACAACACACACACTGAAAGAGGAAGATTTGTACCTGAATTAAGACCCACAAACTTCCCACACCAACAGGAAATAACCAAGACCTTCCAAACATGTTGTAGTGTGGGATGAAGACGGTTTACGGTGTGGAGGGGAGGAGAGGGCTAGGTCAGTGAGGGGGAGGGGTTGGGTCAGTGAGTGGGAGAGGAGGGTTGGTGAGAGGGGGGGAGGGGCTGGATCAGTGAGGGGAGGGGGGGGGGGCTAGGTCAGTGAGGAAGAGGAGGCTGGATCAGTGAGTGGGAAGGAAGGAAGGACAAGAGTGAGGAAGGAGGGTTAATAAAAGAGTGGGGAGAGCTTATTAAATGAGGGGGTGGGGGAGGTTGCGTCATTGAATAGGAGACGGAGATTTTTTTTTTTTTTTAGAGAAAGGAGGAATGAAGGAAGATTAGAGGTGGGGGAAGGAAGTTATAGTTCGGAAATTGAAGAAATTTAGGAGGAGGTAAGAGAGGGTGGTCTGACCGCCTAGCTAAGCTAAGAGTGTGTTAGGGTTGTGTCATGGGTTAGTTATTGTCCGTCGGTACAGGCACTAGACAGCCTACCCTATCCCATATATGGGTGTTTTGAGGGCCTTATTTCATATTCCGCCGACCCTACTGGCGGATGCTGGTCTAGGGAGGTTCTATTGCCTGGCCGTGTAGATCGGGGGTGGTAATGGACCTTTTGAGATTTGGTAACTTTTTGGGAACCATGTATGGTTGTTGTCGTTATCTGGTGGGAGTCTTTGAAGGAGTTCTTGCTCTGATCATTCTATCTTTTGCCAGACTCTGCTGGCCAGGGTGTAGGGGTGAGGAAGGGAGGAGGTTCGAGAGGATGGTTTAGGGGAGATGGGAGGAGTAGGGAAGGGAGGGAGGGAAGGAGATTCGGTGGATGGTTTAGGAGGGATGAGGTGGGGGGGGGGAGTACGGAGTGACCTTGTAAGGTGAACAGGTGTTGCTTCCACCTTTCTAGTTGTCCCATTTTCTGTGTCTTTCTCTTCCACTTTGTTTCTTTCTTATCCTTCATTTCCTTCTTCGTCCCCTTTCCTTTTCTCTCTTCTTTTCTTTCTTTTATTTCTTCTTAACTTCTTTTTATTCTTCTTAGTTCTTCCACTTTCTTGTTTTATCTTATTTTATGCCACATTCCTTTGCAATTTTTCTCTCTCTCTCTCTCTCTCTCTCTCTCTCTCTCTCTCTCTCCCTCCCTCTCCATTCACGATCATCTCATCTTTATTTTCACTCCTTACGCTGTTTATTCTATTTCTCTGTGTTCATTTTCCCTCAATCTTATTCCTATTAGCTTCCCCTCGTCATTATTACCGTTTCGTCTTCCTACCGTTTCTCCTGATTCCTACGTTCTTCCAGTCTTTAGTTTCTTCCTGTTTTTCTTTACCAACTCTTTCCTTCTAGTTTCTTTTATGTCTTGTTCTTCTTTTGTCTTGTTCTACTCTTCTCCAATTATCTACGTTCCCACTCTCCCTACCCCTTTTCTCCCTCTTTACTCCTTTCCTCTTCTCGCTACTTTCTGGTAAGAGCAAACGATAGATGCACCCAGAAATATTATCAACAAAATATACTAATAATTAAGAAAATATGACAATTAAAGATAAATCTACACCTAAAAATAAATAACAAAAGTACATCATTGACACATTATTTACCTAGTGGTCACCCAAACCCTTGTTCGTCATAGTTTAGCTAGTCTCGGGCTATTTTTTAAAGTTCAGGGCTGTTTTCGATTCCAAAGCTTGTTCTGGTAGACTGTTCCATAAGTCTACATTCCTGTGTGTGACAACGTATTTCCTTAAATTCGTCTGCATGATATCTTTGCGAGCTTGAAGTTACGTCCTCTCGTGTTTGCGGTGCGTGACATCACGAAACAACGAGCCCAAAGTTCACGCTGATCATCCCTTTCAGGATTTAGAATGAGATCTGCCCTAATATATCTTATACGAAGAGCCGTTAGTCCTAAGATCCTCAGTCTACTTGAATGATCGTGATGATTTAGTTCAGGAATCATCTTAGGCGCTCTATGTTGCACCTTTATAGGGATGCTAAGTCTTTCTGGAGGTAAGGTTTGCACACCTGTATACAGTAATCTGACCTGGAACGTACGAGAGACTTACCCTACTTAAAGTTGAGGGAATACTTTCTTATCTTTGTATTTGAAGGTACGACTTTTTTAATTCCTAAACCTCGGGTGTTTTTTTTACACTTGCTGCGGGGCATACAGGGTAGGTGAGCATGACCACCGGCGGGGCATACAGGGCAGGTGAACACGACCACCGGCGGGGCATACAGGGCAGGTGAACACGACCACCGGCGGGGCATACAGGGCAGGTGAGCACGACCACCGGTGGGGCATACAGGGCAGGTGAACAACACGCATACAGGGCACCGGCGGGGCATACAGGGCAGGTGAGCACGACACCACCGGTGGGGCATACAGGGCAGGTGATCATGATCGGCGGCGGGGCATACAGGGCAGGTGAGCATGACCATGGCGGGGCATACAGGGTAGGTGAGCACGACCACCGGCGGGGCATACAGGGCAGGTGAACACGACCACCGGCAACAGGGCAGGTGAGCTCGACCACCGGTGGGGCATACAGGGCAGCTGAACACGACCACCGGCGGGGCATACAGGGCAGGTGAGCATGACCACCGGCGGGGCATACAGGGCAGGTGAGCACGACCACCGGCGGGGCTTACAGGGCAGGTGAGGCTGCACACACACACACACACACACACACACCAAAAACTACTCAGAAAAGCGCGCCATCTGTTGTAAACAGATCAACATGTTTATGAAGCTTCAGACTCAAAAGCTTAAAGATTCAATGTCCATATTGCGCCAGATCGGTGTCTACGAATTTTTTCCGCGACTGTACATTGTTTGTATACCTGCACTGTCTATTGTATGTACATTGTTTGTGTACACTCTCCCCAAAACAGTATAGGCCCCTTCTCTCGTCGATACAATGTGTCACAATGGACGAATATTTCCGATCACTAATTGTGATTCCTGCATTATGTTGGAAGGTCTGCCTTCCTAGTATCAGTGAGGTTACAGTTATTATTTCTAGCATTTTTTTTAATTATGGTGAATGACTGTGCTCCATCTTTAGTAAAATATTAAACTTATATTAATGTAGCGAAAATATATCAACGACCGTCAAATAGTGGGTGTTTTCTGCTGGAAATCCGTCCCCAACACTAGTACCTGAGACTCGTGAGAAACACAACTTGCACCGACAGACATCGTCTCGTGGAGTGTATCAGACAATGTTCCGTTGCCACATGAACCATGAGATGATACGTTATATTCATAATTGTTACCTCATCATTTGAAGTAGAAATAATATCGAAATGTAATAAATCATAATGTCATTGTAATTGGATATGGCATCATAATACACATGTAATTACTATATCATACTGTTTCATATTTCGTTCGAAGCTATTCCTTTGGAAACTCGGTTCATGAAAACATTGTAAAATTATATTCCTATTTGGCAATCCATCCCCTGGGACTGAAATAATATCTAAAGTGCCATAAATCAGCGGGGTTACTTGTGACGTTATTGGTTTTGCATATGGTATCACAATTCATCCTATTTAATTACATTATGTAGAGAATAGTTGGCATACTGCAGATACATGGTGATTATCAGGTGCTAGAAGGAAGAACGAAAGGTGTAACTCACAATCAGAAATACCAACCGAACCGAGATTGCTGTGCTCGTGTTATTGTGTTCATTTCCAAATACATTAGGCCCAGGGGGGCAGATACTTTTTTTGTGAGTGTTCCTGTACTGTCTTTGTATATTGTATACCTGAATTGCCAATATACATGAATATAATATTTATCTATCTATCTATCTATCTATCTATCTATTTGTTTGTCTGTCTGTCTGTCATTAAGGCAAGACTACGGTGGTGTGGTGTATTAGTAAACACATCACGGCGTGCTTCAAGGTGGAGGTTTACGACTCCCACTTTTTAGCTCCCGGGCCTCTCTCTCTCTCTCTCTCTCTCTCTCTCTCTCTCTCCATACCTTATCAAGACATAATTATACCAAGGTTCAAATAAACATATATCATAAACCTGGCATCAGTTGCAGATATAGGAAACTTCCTCGTCACCTCGGACGAATAAAAACAGGGAGAAAAATATGCGTAGGTGTTAAGTTTATCCTC